AGGTAGCTGCAACACCCCTAAAGACAAAAGTAGCACCAAATCTAGGTACATATTGCAAAATTACGCCCATGCTCAACTTCTCTATAAACTCTCGTCCTGGTATATCATATCTGAATTTTGATATTATATTTGATTACTACTTGAAGTTAAACTAACAGTATAATACAAAAAAACGATACTGAACCTTCAAGACGTGTATGCTACACGGATGATTGAGAACAAATGCATATATGTATGTAGTACCTGGTACATGTCTCATATAATTCGACGGATGGATGTTGTATTGCTAAAAGCTTCTATGTAATAGGGGCCGAGGTTTTGAAATACATGTCACAGTGCCTTTCGCACCTTCCTACAAAGTACCTTCCATCTTAGGTACATGTACTTAGGTAATTGTCTATTAATGTACCTTCACAAAAAGCATTCAACAATCATAGCTTAAGTTCCAACAACTATTAAAATTGATATAATTAGCCCAAGTAATCGTGCCATTAGAGAGCACTGATGAAAATATTGTATGGCGCACCTAATAAGTTTCATCGCCTAGATTTTAGTAGTTTAAAGGATGACAAAGCCTTTCGTTTCTAATATTTCTTATGTTTATATATATATTTCTTACATCGGAATGCTCTACTTAAGCTCTTAGCGAGAACTAACAAGGTTTGTTGGATTTATGGGATATCGGCGGTATTCAAAACTGCCATCGTCTATAAGGGAAGCATAATGTGTACATAGGTTGGAGATAGTGCTGCCTGTGGTGAAAGTGATGACTTCCGCATGATCAGGAGGAGCAGATTGCCCGAGATAGAAAGGGCTTAGTTTGTTTAATAGCTTTCTTTACCATATCTCTATAGTGGTTATACTCTGACTCTATTGGTGAAGTAATTCCATAAGACCGAGTGTACCGGTCGTGGATGTCCATCAAGTTCATTGAAAGCCTTGAGCTAACGGGAATGTAGGATCATGTCCTCATCTACTTGCCTCATCTACTTGCGTGCCAAAACCCAGCGTCATTATGAAGGTCGTCTTTATTATCGACGGCTCACTAGTGAGCTTTTCTAGAGCAGATATCGGCCCCTTGTTATTCTTCTTCTTTTCGATCTTATCGAATAATGTCAAGTTTACCTGTATAAATTCCGCCCGCTTAGGCTAAAATTCGCATCTACCGTAGCCAGTCTACTGTTTTTCGCAAGTAGGGGGGCAATGACCAGTTCTGACTAATAAATCGCATTTGTACCCGGGGTTATCTGTACGATTTTTGTTAGTTGCTTGCTTCTATTAGCTCACTAATACAATGCTGAGATATGTTGTCTACTTGCTTTATTGGCTCGTCCATAACTGCTGGCCGGCGAATGCCCATTATAGTTAATCGAATTCTCTTTGTTGATGAAACGATCGTATCCAACACGTATCTCGAAGGAAATTTCCAGCTGCTGAAGAATGCTTTTTGCCACCGTACGAGTGTTCTAGAGCTGTTGCATTGGTATTTCTAGCTACGCCCTTTTGAAATGTTGCTATTCATGGTAGGAGGTAGTGATAATAAGAGGATAAGAGGATGGGCTTCGTTCGGCACCACACGCTACACCACAACGGTTCATAGACGACTACTTCAACGATATAAACAGAAAAGTTAAATGAAAGTAAATGTATAATTTATTCCTTCCCTATGAATCACTACCTGATACACCTACATGTACATTATGTACATTTAGTTGATAAGTGAAGCTTTATGTGCCAAAATAGCGGTGCCACATCAAAATATATCGCTAAAATACTTCGACTTCGTTATTTAGTCCTTTTGAGCAGAACAAAATTATTAATATAAATTGATATCATGATCTAAATAACATAGATAATAGAAGGCATTAACTAGTTGATAAGCTTTGTCAGTTTCTCGTTAATATTTTCCTTTTTTATCATTCTAGTTTTTGTTTTTTAATTCTTTATAAAACTATTATTGTAGTTTAAGGCTGTGGAATATCCACTTACCTATATCTAGGATACTTTGTACAGTACGTCTCGCACCTCCCCACCAAGTAACTTCCATCTGCGGGCTCCCGCAATTAGGTGGCCATGAATTTGTGATGGAGTCTTTATCTCTGGCTGTTTCAAATTAGCGAATCCCCGGTTCTATTCCTAAAGGGGTTACATCCCGTTGCACTAGAGAAGATGCCCTTTTAAACTGAGCATGATCGACGGACGTCTGCCTCTGCCGCTTTTGCCTACTTAACCAACCCTCTCAGGGCCACAGCATCTTTCTCTACTAGTCTTAATGGATAGATTGGTCACGATAATATCATTAGTTTTGATTACTATCTCTTAAGATATTTAGATATAATATCATATGAAAAGATTAATAAGAATGCTACTTTACACACATCGGATAGTAAGCTGAATGGAAGCTACTGGCGGACTGACAGACTGGAAACTTTTAAGTAGTGTACATATGAAGCCTCGCTGCAAGCAATTCTTAAAATATCCCCAGATTACATCAACTTGCCTAAATGCGACACGGGGCTAATGCTATCTACCCCGTTCTAGCTGACTCTAGGACTTGACGTTTTCTTGGTCGCTGCTGCCTGCGCGAAGCAGTCAGCCACTGTATTATACTTCACGGATCGGGTCCCTTTTATAGAACCGGAAGCTTCTATCTAGAAGTGAGAGCCTCGGATATTCGAATAAGTATCAACACTATAATATACCAATTCCTTGATATAGTAGATCAAACTTAACATCAAACAACTAACCCAAAATATTAGGTACCTCCTTAGCACGAAAAGGGGTAGAGATCCTGACTCGCCTGACGAACCCACTATGATCACCAAGCGGGGTTACTCGAATCCTGCAGGTGTATAGTGCATACGGAATGATGGGTGCACGACGGCATCATCTACCTATATGACAGCCGTAGGAAAGAAAACCGAATGCAGGGATTATATATTAGTGTTCGATAATGCTTCTATGCATACTTCTTTCGGCATCTCCCCTATCTTATGTGTCAGCTTATTAAATATTACATACTAACATACTAGGTATAGGTACCGCTTTCCGGTCAAGACCCTTCTCTAAACTTCATACTAATGCATCCTTACTTATTAATATGATTAAGTAACCTCTATGTTTCCCTTTCTAGCTCGAGAAATGGAATCAAGAGTCTACACTCATTACACATAACAAGTAAGATGTATATGACACTTGCGCGTACCTGTATGAGTCCACGATTGTGTAGGTAGTAACTTATGGGGGAGGGGTATATACTTGATAGGACTTATGTACAACAATATACCAGCCTTTTTCGATCCTCAATCAGGAGATGACAATGTTGAAATTAGGTATTCATCGACTCAAACATATAAAGTAGAATCAAATATTTATTATCAGTATATCTACCTCTTAATGCCTGCATATTCAGTGCTAGCTCGATGACATAATTATTAAGATCTCATCAAGTAAACCAAGAATACTCTTTAAGTAACTGTAAATCTAGTTCACGATCGATTTGTAATGAAGTAAAAGGGTTAAAGGGCGAAGTCAACCTATGCTCATAAACGTGTATCTAATCCAATTCTAACGAAAATTTACCATATAGACATGAATAGACTATAGACAGCCAGTTAGTTATATAGTAGTTTCATACGTGGTCTCAGTTTCCTACATTCGCTGCGATAATGCCATCTCTTGGGTGGTAGAGGTGACATCGATAAGTTGTTTTCCTATCGATGCACCTATCCTACAGGCCCAGCACAGCAGAACAATAGAGCCCTACATGAATCCCAAAACTCGAACGCATAGATACCTGATATTATTCGAATAGGAAAAGCCGCTATATGAGAAACGACGAGGAAAAAGTTACGCATCCCCTGTAAATTGGTGCAATAGGTAATGAAGTCAAATTTGGCTACTAAGAGAAAATTAACTAAGGGATCTTCAGGTGCTAGCATCTGGTGGCTAATTACTGAATAAAGGTTAGGCTCTGTAGCCCCTCCCCCTCACTTGCTTACATGGAAGGTACCTAGGTACCTAGGTAGATACTTAGTGGCTCATGATCTGATTCTAATTCGGTGAGGTGTCGGATAGGGTAACTGGTGAGTCAAATCGGGCCAATAGTGGTCCTAGTTTGCTGGCAAGCCTCAGGACTAGGACTAGTGTAATAGCTTAAAAAAACATGACCGTTCCGATAAACCCATACCCACAACGACCGTCGCATCAACTCTCCGGGTACAACGTTGATCTAATTCCCTAAGGCGAATCATCTCACTTTCACAACCGCGAACCTATTCCTTCTGATATCGTGGGTGATTTTTCTATCTCTGCCCCATTATCGTATTAATAGAATTGCATGGCTATTCCAACCGGAAACGCATTTTGCACGCGCCCGTCGCCTCTTTCGCGATCCACGTGGTGATACATCATAACAACGATCAGTAACCAATACTGAACCAAGTTTGGTGCTGCCTTACTAAGTTTCTGCTCATCACTTGTTTTCCTATCTCTGCGCCTCATAACACTCTTTCGATTTTTTTTTGTTTTTTTGTATAAGGAATTGTTCAAGCCCACAAGATACACAAGATAAAGATACGCAAGATACTATCAGACCGATTATCAATAAGCACGAGGCTACTATTAGAGCCACTCGATGGATCCTTTCTCTCCGACCCAAGAACCTGACGAGGGTTATTCCGAGCATCCCCTTAATCCCTCCGATTCAGGTAGCCTTACCAGTAATGCGTCGCTGACGGCAAAGCGACCAGCTGCCGACATACCGGCATGGCTGTCGGCTCAATTACCCACACTGTCGATACACCAAAAGACTCGTAAGTCCGCGAATTCGATTACCAACCCGATATTCCCCATAATTGAAATACTGCTACTGCTCTCAATTTAGCTCACCCCTGGCTATATTGTATAATTTGTTTTGCTGACATGACCTTTTTAAATATTTAGGATTAGCAATGTTAATATTAAACGAATTGCCTACCACCGTGATCGCCGACATCGTCATGAACGGACTAAACCCTCGCCTCTATATCAACTTCGTGGAACGTCTACCACCGGAGATATGCCTCAAAATCCTGGGTTATCTAGACCCTGTGTCGCTAATCCATGTTGCGATGTGCTGCCGGGGCTGGTACGATTTGGCTTTGGACCGCAAACTTTGGGAGCGACTGTTCTATTTAGAAGGTTGGAAGGCCATACCCTCCGAAATCATAGCCGCAGAACAGAGGATGAATGAAACACAAGTCCCGTCTCAAAAGATAGAATCATTCGAAGACGGCCACGCGAATAAGAAACGAGCTGTATCGGAACCAGCAGCACAGGATGACGAAGACTATGATATGGTCGACGCTGATGCGGCCGTAACGCAAGAGTCCATGGTTGACCAGTACAATGTGAGTGTATTCTACCCTCGAAGATTAGACTGGAGAGATGCATCTATTGAGCGAGAACCGTGCCTAATCCGTATGATAAGAGTTCTTTCCATATTCGCCAGCCTGGGGAGAGTGGTTCGTCTGTTCAGAGTAACGCTAGTGTTATTCAGCATATGGGTAGCCTGATGATGAAGTCGCCCAGCCCCATGCATGATCAAAGAGGACAGTCCGCTTCCCGAGTATCGAAAGGCAAAGGCAAAGCCACTATCGAATCGCTTATTGAGACTGCTTCCAGCTTACCTAGCCTACTGAAGTCTACGCTTTGGATTTATGATTCGATTGATCGTAGATACAAAATCAATTGGAAGTACCTATATACGATGAGACGAAGGCTGGAACACAATTGGGATCGTGGCCGGTATAAAAACTTCCAATTACCACATCCAGATCACCTAAACGAGGGACATAATGAGTGCATCTACAGCCTCCAATATAACCCGGAATATCTTGTCAGTGGTAGCCGGGACCGTACACTACGAATATGGAACCTACGCACCCGGCGCCTTATACGACCGCCTCTTATGGGCCACCAAGGATCAGTTCTCTGTTTACAGTTCGACTCAGATCCTGAGGAGGATCTAATTGTCTCCGGAAGTAGCGACTCGGATGTAATTTTATGGAAATTTTCTACAGGCGAAATCATCCAGCGACTGAAGAAGGCACATAGGGAATCAGTTCTTAATGTCAAGTTTGACAAACGGATCCTCGTAACATGCTCCAAGGACAAGACGATCAAGATTTTCAACCGTGTTCCATTACGACCCGGGGACTTGGGATATGGCGGGTCCCAAGGTGTTAGCCCTGTACCAATAAATCTTAGAAATTTTGGTTTCGACGACTCGCCTATAAATCAAGCCGCTATTAAACCACCGTACACAATGATCGGATGTCTTGAGGGGCACGGCGCCGCCGTAAACGCCGTCCAGATTTGTGATCGCGAAATTGTCTCAGCGAGTGGCGACAGACATATCAAAGTATGGGATTGGCCAAATCAGACATGCCAGAGGACTTTTCTTGGGCATAATAAGGGTATTGCCTGTGTCCAGTATGACGGTCGTCGTATTGTGAGTGGGAGTAGCGATAATGAAGTCAAGGTGTTCGACCGAGAAACGGGTCTCGAAGTTGCGAGCTTGCGGGCGCATGGCAATCTTGTCCGTACTGTACAAGCTGGGTTCGGTGATCTTCCTTATAGCATCGAGCAAGATCGGTTGGAAGCAAAGGCTGTCGATCAGGCATATTTTAAGGCTTTAAATGATGGAAATCTCGAACAGGAGGTCCAATCGTTGAGGCGTCGACCACATAACGCGGGTAGTCGCCGACCTGAAGATATTACTGCATACGGGGCTACGCTTCCTCCCGGCGGCGGTGGCGGTCCTTACGGACGAATAGTTTCCGGTTCTTACGACCAAAGCATTATAATCTGGCGGCGGGATAGGGAGGGTGTCTGGAAGAGCGCACATACGCTTCGCCAGGAAGAAGGCGCGACGGCAGCCCTTAGGCAGACACCTCCTCGCTCTACTTCTAGAGCACCTCCTACGTCATCAACCCTGCCTTCTACTCATAATCTACCGGCGCCCTCCGCAAGCGCTCCACCAACGCAAGCACATCCGAATTTCACCCACGTCGAGCACCCTATCCTCGCCACCATCACCCCTCAAACGACTTCATCCTACACACAAATGATCGATGCTTGTGTTCCGCAGGGACCAGCAGCCCTCCAACAGGCTTTAGCCTCCTATCCGACCATGTTAACCTACCAATTTCACATACAATCAGCCATTAGTCGTGAACCTAACCCCATTATTCGCTCGCAGCTAAGACAAGTTGTTGGCAGTGCTGTAAACAGAGCACAGCTTGCTCAAAGTCGCATCAGAGAATCCGTACAGCAAGCCCTTTCAGCAACTACGACCGCCGGGGAGACGTCGACTCAGTCAGCCAGCCAGCATAACCCATCCAATATTGCTCCAGTGGGGCACGCTACAACAAGCAACGGTGGTGGCCCTCCTCCTAGCCTCACTAGTATGACCACACCGCACACTCAGCCCCAGCCGCAGACTACAACGTCTCAAGCGCAAGGCCAAGTACAGGGCCAGCAACAGCAGCACCCCCATATCCCACAAGCAGATACAAGTCCCGCCAGAATTTTCAAATTACAATTTGACGCACGGCGGATAATTTGCTGTAGTCAGACAAGCACCATCGTAGGCTGGGACTTTTGCAATGGGGACCCAGAGCTCGAAGAGGCATCCACATTTTTTGGGACTGTAGAGTAGAAGCTTTCAAGAGCTATATTATTTACGGGGTATATGTGTACATGATGATATGAGTACCGACAACTCAGCTCGAAGTAGTATCGATAGTGACGTTGAACTAAATAGAGTATAATGGTAAAAACAGAGATCTTCCAAAACCCCATCATCGCGTAAACTCCAATAACTCCCTTCTCTACCTAATCTACCTGGAAAACAAGCTTGCTCGCTAGTCTCGTGATATCACCTTGCTACCTCTTGTACCTTGTTAGCCTCCGGGGGTTCGTCAATGAATTCGGGTACTTCGTCCCTCATAAAATCAGGCACGCCACCTGCCTCCATGCCCGCGCCCTCCATCTCCATCTCAGCACCTAGCAACTCCAGTTCCGCATCCAGCTCGGCTTCATCTACATCGTCGGGGACCTCATACCCGCGACTTAGGGTCTCGTTGATTTCGTTGCCGACGTCCATGAGATCAGCCATCTCGTCCTGCATGCGCTCGATCTTGTCGAGGTCGACTTTTCCGTACTGCTTCTTGAGCTCCTTCTGGGTAGTCTTCATGGCGTCTACGGTGGTCATGACGCCGGCGAGGTTGTCTTGCATGGTCTGGGCCTGCTCCATGTTCCACACCTGCGACTGCAGCTGGTCCCGCTGCGACTCGTATTGCTTGCGCCGCTGGAGCACCTTAAGCGCCTTGGCTTTCAGCGCCGACTTCCCGGGCCCTTCGCGCATCTTGGCCATTTTGCTTTGGTACGTGCCCAGCTCGGCGTTTAGGGAGGCGATTTTCACGTCGAAGGAGGATATGCGCCCGTCGAGGTTCGATATGGCGGTGTTGAGGGTGGGCTTGGGCGCTTTGGGCGCGCTGCCAAAGAGGCGGTTCATGTTGGTGGTGGTGGTGGTGGTGGGGTTGGATCGTGATCGGTTTGTTGGTTTTCTTTTTTAAGGAGGGGGTTTTCGGAGGGGTTGGATGTTTCTAGCTCGGGGATGCGAAGTGTGTTAGGTACTCGATATAGGGTTTATAGGGTTTATAGGCGGTCTTTTGCGATTTAGATTTGTAAGAGGTAGATGCGGGTGATGTATTAGGTAAAGTTCCTGTATTAAAATGTAAAGTTCTATCAGTTGCAGGCAGCTGGATAATGGCAAGCGGGATGCTTCAAAGGTTGCTTAGGCGACAAACGTGAGCCTAGTGGGGCCGAGAGTGCAATGACGTCCCGGGCGCGTGTCAGCTGACTGTCAGGTGGCATTTCTTTCACAGCTGGTAGCTTAGTTAATACAAGTTAGTTATCACTTTGTGTTGACTCTTTAACATCAACAGCTCGGAACTATGGGTTATATTCTTAAGTAACTACCAATTTTACTTTATACATAAGAAATACTTATTAAATTTCTAAGTCACTTATATTTTCTAACACTTAAGGAGACATAAATCATCAAAATCTAACTTAGTAGTCTATGGTATATCTCAAAAGCAGATGAAAAATAGACTTCTTTGCTTGATCATAACTAAACTATGTCTATATAAACAGGTATTAACTAACATGACCCAGTTGCCATATCTAGCAATCTTAGTTCTTCACCAAAATATTTTGTTCAGACAAAATGCACTTTACACTCTTACTACCTACTCCGAATACACGCCAAAGCGTCAGTAGGTAGTAAAAATAGATTACCCGATGTTCTCTTGCATGTTGGGGTACTGGGACGGGTCGGCTAGCCCTTCTTATATATCGGTGCCCGAAATCGTACTAAGTATGCACTCTCATGTAAGAATGAACATTTAAGGAATATTTGGGCGGTTATAGTGCGTATATCTATGCATATTCTTCGAATGTGCATTTCTGACTACATCTTCATATGCAGCTCTGGAGATGGCTTTCCGGCTGGAGAAAAATCATAACCAGAGGGGCATGTGGTTGTTGAGGGGACTAATAACCACATCTACTGTGATAGACAGCCACTAGTTAGTGAAGATCTTGAGACTACCTAACGCATCTATATTATGAGTTGGTCACTTCAAAGGAAACGTGAGGTGAACATTACGATAGGCATATGACTAATATTCTATGGTATAATGGGCTGTTTTGAAATCATAATCAAGCCATTTCGCCGAATACCTGCAGCTAACATCGGAGGTTCTGGACAGTTCTATTCGGACTGTGTCAATATCACTTCTGCACACCCATGGCAAGCTGCAAATTTATAAGGTGTTAGGCACTTCGATTGTGCAGATTATAATTATGTTAAACTCGCTGAATTGACCCGCTGAATTTATTGCTTAATCAATTTTTTTTATGATGCTATACAGTTTCACGTCTTGGCATAATGTTGTGATACCTGTTAAAAATTGCAACATCATTACCTATGGTAAGAGAGAGTGTATGTGAGCTATTCATAGAGCATTGATCATTATATGGAGGTTTACGAGTCAACGTCCTACTAAAGATGTCTCAATCTAAACATTTTCTCGGAGAAATTTGTTGGTCTAGACTGGCCCTGTTGTACACCTATGCCTCTCGATTTCTGAAGAACCTGGTAATGTGGCGCTCGTGTTGCAATTTGCTTTTTATGACATATGTAGAGACCACGCTTATTAAGTCCTACCGCCAATGCATATTTTGGAGCGCTTACCTCCACCAGCTTCATCTATACGTTTCCGGTCCATCGGTAGGATGCAGGTCCTACTAACTCTCTTCCAATAACTTATAGTTCCGTGTCCTCGTGTTATAACTACGTGGCTACGTATTAAGTACCTAATGTTCGGGGATCGGAAAGGCGTGGTCGTGAATGGTTACGGGTGGCTACTATGCCGACTGAATAACGTGTTCAAGTAAGGTCCCGACGATAATGTCACTCAGTTATGCACGTTTCCTGCAAGCCTGTTGCCGATTGTTCAATGTCTTTTAACTAGAAAACTAAATTTGTGCTAGGGCTGGCTTCTTGCGTTTCCCTTCGGCCGAACTTTTCTTCTAGATACTGCCAACCTTGGCATTTCTTGAGGCCTCTTTTAAGAGGTGGACTAAAGATTTGGATGCTTTTCAGTATCATACTTTCGACACGGTGTGGAAGCATGTGATGTATCGTAAGTAACCTTTACGAACTGATAGCTCATCCTGACAGGGAATATTATTTTCCTTATATGGCTATAGAAACCTTTCTCCCGAGCGTTTGCTAGGTATCTGGAAGTTAGCAACGCCACGCTCGCGAGTTCCTCAAATTAGAACTGTTCTATACTCGAAGAAGTACCTAGAGCGGTGGCATGAGAAGCCAGCCAGCTAGTTTAGTTCAATTCCAGGTCTAATCAAGCGGAGGAGAGTCCTCGTCCTCGATCCAAGGCACGAGTTGCTTACACTCAGCCAGCCTTCAGCGTGGATTTTCCGCTTCTGAATAGTAGTGTGAGTGAGTTACGCGGCAGGGATATAGTATAATTAAGAGAATCGGTGCAGTATACCTATAGGATAATCAATCAGAACTCATGATTCGCCACCTACCTAATTTAACGAATCCTCTGTTAAACATATTAAATATATAGATCTCTAGAAAGTCAATTATTAATACAATCTGATGTTTCGATGTAAACTTCCATTGCCTATTTGCCTTTCCCGGCATGGGTCCACGCCATCTCCAACAGTCTAGATGCGAAGAAGCCATGTCCCAAATCCTCTTCTGCTATTTTAGATAACAAAACAGGTTGGAATGGCACTAAAAGCTTGAAGGCGCGGATAAGTGAGAAACCGCTGAAACTTAAGAGGTTATCAAGATTGACTAGCCCTCCATATGAGGCTTACATGGATTCGACAGCTACCTACATTCGCTACCAATCACGGGAGATAGGAAACAAGGCTAAATGCTTACTTCCACCAGTGCCTGATGCACTAAGAGCAAGTCCCGGAAAGTAATCATGACGTTGTCATAATATACGGTGTAACCACACGGTGACCAACTCATACAAATGTCCATCCCTATTTCGTGCAGGTCGACCTTCGCCACCCATTGTTTGAAATTAAGAGATATGATAGCAGAAGAAGCTTGGCCGTTATAAATAATATTTCGTGAAACATAAGTGCAGAAATTCTTCATTTAATTAATATCGTTAATTATAACGACTTTCTTGTGAAATGGTAGATCACTACTCACTACAATCAATTATGAGGTCCCGAACGGGTCTTCCCGTCCAAGATTACATATGCAGCCTAGAATCTGGAGTACCTCGTGTGGAGACTCTTGCTGGGATGTTGAAGCTACAGCTCCTAAACTATGTGGCTGAAATCTAGAGCCAGGTTATACTGTAAAGGCTGAAGAATGAATTGTGTTGATTGGATAGGCTAGACTTGCTCGCTTGTGTTGCAGTGGCTTGCATAGGTACGTTATAGAAACCAGGATTAATTCTTTGACTAACATACGATTTATGGTCACACGGTGAAATGAAGAGGCCTCGTCAAGGAGTCGTGGCCGCTAGTCAGACGCCCTCGCGGAGCATTTCCGACTGAACTTTCATCAAGATCGAATAGATCGGGAGAGAAACGTCGTCCATGGCGTAGCGCCATTCCAAAAAGAAGAAATTAGTATGCAGAACCGGGGATAAACTGAATGCCATCATGGACCATTGCGCAAGGACCCGAGGCCATGGAAACAATCGGTTTCGATAAACAAGCATTGAGAATGTGTATATAAGCTGTCTAAGCTCCCTCGAAATTCCAAGTTATAATCACCATCAAACCTCAGTCTTCAGTCTCTACAGTTCTCTTCAGCTCACTACATAAATTCTCTACCTCTTCAGGTCCAACCCCCTTACAACATCCAAAATGCAGTTCAGCACTATCACCATCTTCGCTTTGGCCGCTGTTGCCACTGCCGCCCCTGCTGAGGTTGTCGAGGTCCGTACTACTAACACGGGTACGGGCTCCTGCTCCAACAGCCAGCCGAACGAAATCTGCTGCTCTGGCCTCCTTCTGGATTGCGTCCTAAGCCTAGGCAACACCTGTGGGGGCACAGCCTACTGCTGCAACAACAATGTTCTCAATGGTAGCGTGAGTGGGACCTGTCAAGTCGAAACTATTCCTGTTGGATGAGCTCATGATTGCTAACTACGTTGAACGCTACCAGGGCGGCCTTATCAACCTCAACCTCAACCTTCTCAACTGCGTTAAGGTTCTTTAAGTGAAACTCGACGAATCTATCTATTAAGGACTTGTGGGAGACAATATCAAGTAAAGGACTTGAACTCAGGAAGGATGATGAGAGAGACTTTGTTATGAGTATTGGATTTTGATTTAACTTGTCACGGCCTGACTACACTCGTTTAGATTTGAAATAATACGATTTTGCCATTCGGAATTGCTCTGATTTACCTATGAAACTCTTGATCCATCCTAACCTTAGATATGTTTTGTATAAGTCAAATATATCATTCTTGACGGTACCGCTCTTGGAACAATGAAGCCTTGGTTGAGTCTTGCCACCTTAAAGGGGCTCATAAACTACTAAGACAATTCGGATTTCTCTATTTCACTAACAAGAAATTAAGCCAATCAGGATTTTAAACACTAGCTTCTTTAACAGAAACAGATATAGGTAAGCATACCTAATGTATCGAATAAGAAGATGTTGCGCCTTTTTAATTACCCTTGAGTACCTATATTATGAGATGAGTTAAAAAATTAAGAAACGACTTCGTTGTTCCCTAAGGAGCTTAAGGTAAATTATTGGGAAAGGGGGGATTTAACATGAAAATTGACATACAAAGATGGCATAAGGGGATGGCATAAGGGGATGACATATGTAATAGGATAGTATAATATAATGACATAAGGGGATGGCACATGTCTTCCCTAAAAGTCGTAAAAGTCGGGCTATTGTAATCTCCCATTAATAATGGTTATTTCTCTACATCTAGTTAAGGTAGTTAAGATAAGGTTACTTTCGACTGTGCATGCAGTAATTCTGCGGAGAGCATCAAGTGATTTCCTTTAATCATATAAATTGTATTCGTTATTCAACGATTATAATTGGTCGGGTATTCAAGCATAAATCAATTGTTAGAAGTTTGATGTTAAGAATTATGCAAAAGATGCATCGGGCTAGTCAACAACCGAGCCGCCAATTTGTTATGTTGTGCAATTGTATCGCGTATCGCGTATCGCGTATCCGTATTCGGTATTGGAAATCCTCATTGGCTTTTAATAAGTGAAGATTTTCTGAATAATGTTACTGTATTTCGGTACTCCGTTATTTTTATACTTGATTGCTCCATATTTACTCATGTTAAGCGATGCTATATGCGGGGTTTATATCTCGTACAATGTACGAAGTTCTAAATGTAGCAATGTACCTACCATAGGTATGTAGGTAGGTATGTATGTAGTAATACGTAGGTAGTGATCATGGAGAAGCTTGAACCTGGAAGGGGTTAGCTTACCGATGATGGGTCTCGCTACGATATGCACCACGTGGAGACGTGAAACATTAGTAAGATATATAGGAGATAGAAGTGGCAACAGTTATGTTCCGGAATAAGATGTCTAACCTAGGATATAAAGCCAGGATATAAAGTCGATGGCCTTTCAGTAAGTTAGGCTTTAACCTACGAGTTTTATGCTCTAGACATCATATTGACGGCCATATTCAAAATGGAGGCCATTCATCATCTTCTCCCTCAGGGATTACCTGTGTCTCTTCAAGTGATTATTGCTACCCTGGTACTTGGCTTCATCTACTCGCTAGTCACCGCAGACCGACCTTTTGCTGGATTTCCAGTCATAACAGTTGATGGACAGAGTCCAACGAAAAGTTGGTTATGGCACGGCAGGAAAGCCGTGGCCGAAGGCATAAAACGGGTAAAGCTACCTACCTACTTAAGCATATCCCTGTCAAAATTATATCGCTAATTCATATATAGTTTTCCGGGCCATTCCAAGTCATGACAGGAACGGGTCCGAAAATTGTCTTGCCCAATAGATTCGCTGACGAACTTCGTAACCATCCCTCGTTGAACTTTAACAAGGCCTTTGCTAAAGTACCTACTCCATCACATATCTGCTATGAAATCTCAAAAGTAAACTAACAGGATTAGGATTTTATGGTGAATTATCCGGGATTTGAGGCTCACCGACTAGGCCTACGTGACGAGTCTCTGATTCAGGATACGGTACGAGTGAAGTTAACTCAATCACTCAACTTGATTACGGATGACTTGGTCGACGAAACAGCGGCATCACTCCATGATGTCTTCGGTGACAACAAGGAATGGACCACCAGGCTCATTAGAGACGATATGCTCGAAGTTGTCGCTCGACTTTCATCAAGGGTATTCTTAGGAAGAGAATTATGTCGGAATCGGAGATGGCTTGATATCTCGAAATCATATACTGTGGATTCATTTCTTGTCTCGCGTCTAATGAGGGCTGTTCCTTCGTTTCTACGCCCCATCACTTATATATTGATCCCGCAATCAAGATCCCTCCGCCACGCCGTTAGAGATGCACGAAAGCTCATCAATCCCGAGGTACAACGTCGTAAAGCTGTTGTTGATGCAGCGCACGCGGCGGGTGAGAAGCCCCCGAAGGTCGCAGATACAATCGGATGGATGTACGAGGTTGCTAAAGGACGAGATGCCGACTACGTCGCAGGCCAGCTTTCGCTGACAATGGCTGCTATTCACACGACTACGGAGACGACTTGTTCGGCACTACTTGACATCTGCGAACATCCCGATGTGGCTCAACAGCTTCGACAAGAGATCATCGAGGTCATTGGCGAGCACGGATGGGCAAAAACTTCTTTATACAAGCTTAAGCTTATGGATAGCTTTCTCAAGGAGGGCCAGCGATTCACGCCCATGGGCGCAAGTATGTTTTCTCCCCAACCCCCTTTTTTCATTCAAGCTAAACAAGAATCTAGCTACTATGCACCGATACGTAGAGAAAGACTTGGAACTCTCCGACGGAACCATATTACCGAAGGGTGCACGTATCGTAGTAGCGGGTAACTTCATGGATCCAACTATTTACCCCGAGCCCGAGAAGTTTGATGCCGCCCGGTTCTTAAAGATGAGGCAACAACCCGGCCAAGAGAACAGTTGGCAATTTGTGACTACTAGTCCGGCTCACACTCTTTTTGGCCACGGGCAGCATGCGTGTCCCGGTCGGTTTTTTGCATCAAATGAAGTAAAGATTGCGCTATGCCATATGTTACTTAAATACGATTGGCGGTTCGTTCCAGAGGAGGGTCGACCAGCCCCGCGAATCTTCGAAGGTGTCAATGGCGTTGACCAAAAGTCGAGGATCCAAGTGCGACGGAGGAAAGCAGAGATTGACCTTGATAATTATTGAGTGGATTGTCTTGTAGAGTATCGTATTATGTCGAACATTTCTGTATTGCCCATACCCCTGAAAGTACTTACCTTAGGTACCTACCTACCTCTATACTTAATTGCTCTTGAGAAATTAGTACCGCTATAGATCCTGCAACAGGATAAAATATTATCATTGCTTTACTTATAATATAATTTCTATATATCTTATATGTTTCTACTGGTGATTGCGATACCTTATATTACACCTATGAAAATACTTAGATGTAGGCTATTCTTTCGACTCCTTATGACTATAAATTCTAGCTAAGATACTATTAGATAGTCAATGCAATTATTATCTATTTAATGTTGATTATTCTCATAACAACTCATTTCATACTATATCCTAATTATAAGGTATCTAGGTAGGTAATCTTGCAGTTGATTTCAATACAGCTACGTTAGTGCTCATTTCGAATTTCGGCTAGGTGCTCTGGAATAGGGGGAAACCACCTAGGTACAGTAAAAGATTGCTTCGAAATTCATTTAGTCGATCTGAGGCTCTCTACTGGCCTGATATAGTATCTATCTGGCGAATTAAGTTCTTTACTTTACCAATCATCACCTTAGCACACATACCTTTTTACACTATTATTGTTCTACATATGTGATAAAATATCATGACGAACTATGGTATTTAATGCTTGAAGAAGCATTATATGCAATCAGTTCCCTTAATCTAATATATCTAATTCAAACTAGTTCTTTTGTTCGATTTCTTGTTCCATCCTGCGGACCTCTCCCTCACTGATACTTGGGTTATCGCCAGTGCCCTCCTGCTTAGCGTCGCTCTCGGCAGCCTCGCGCTTTTCTTCTTCCCTCTTCTCTTGCTCTGCCAATTGATGCTCTTCACGTCTAATTTCTTGCAAGTCAATGTCTTCGAAACCGATACGCTTAAGGATCGGTGCCGTTGCATGTCGGTACAACGTGTGGCCTTTGACTAGATCACCAACATCAACGTTCTCGACGCCCCGGACATCGAGAACAGGATGTAGTCCGGCAACCCCGAACTGGATGCTGCTACTTCTGTATAAAAATGCGAGAATATAATCATTCGCGCTGTATGCATTAACAACTCTTCCGGCAACGACAGAACGGATACGGCGCCAATCGGCTGAACTGCTAGGAGTCGGTGCGCCTAACATTATGGCATTCTCGATCAGACCGAAAGCCTTCCGCTTAGCAAGCTGCTGTAGGCACACATATATAACCTTAGCGCCGAGAGAATACCCGATAAGTGTGACTGGTCGCTCGCCTTGCGCTTTGTTGATAAGAGCATCGGCAAGAACTTCTCCAGCTTTTTGAGCACGCTGGTTAGCAACACTCCAGGGGTTGTCAATAATGCGACTAGCTTTCTATATTAATATTAGCATCCTATGATAATCTCCAATTACACTTAGTCTAAGCACGCTAGCTCTGTGAGGGACATGAATAGGAATAATAGGATATGCCAATAAGTGTGTTACTAGGTAGTCGAGTGCTCAGAGAGGAGCGCGGGATCACTACTATGAATATAGGCGGTTTAGGGGAGATATCGCACGTACCAGCAAGCCTAGCGGCCACAAGCCAGCGGACAATGCCGCAAAAACAGTGCGTTTAATAATCTCAGACTTCGCGTAGGACCAAGCCGCGGAAGTGACTAGGGTTGTAAGCGCATTCCCCAGATCGATCAGCGCTTCCAGCTCGAAGCGGAGGGCAAACGGTTCTTGGCCTAGACCGATACATTTCCAGGGCGTCACCACCTCGTCTTTATCGCCCAGCCAACCAGAAATACCAATAGCAATTCGCAACCGGCGTGCTTCTATTTCGCTCTCCCCTAGTCTTTCGATGGGCACAAAAGCAAAGTCTTCCACATCTCGAGTATATTGTTCCACTGCGACATCGAGAATTAGTAAATACCACTAACTAGGTAGGCTTATTATAAAGTAATCTCGAACCGTCAAGCTTATTCCATAGACTACTAGTTCCTAAGCAGACCTAGAGCAGGAGTACGGCTTTCAGATTGTGATAAGGGGGTTTACTTACTGGCTTGACTTGTCATCTTAGCACCATAGGCCCCAAACAGACCACCTACTAAAACGCCACTTCCGGCTAAGGCTCCAAGATAGCCTGCCGTAGCGGTAGCCCCGAGACCAATTCCACCTAGAACAGTGCCAACCCCAGCGGCCAGGAAAGGAGCTGCCAACCCACCGGTAATACCGATGAGGGCCGCACCAGCGACTCCAGCTACGCCCATCTTCCATTTGCGAGCGGTACGATTTTCTTCGGCTCTATTCTTCGTCTCCTCATCAGCCGACATCTTCTCAACCGCCGTAAGAAGCCCGCGTGCGACTTTCTTTTCGTCCTCTGAAAGTACCGTAGCCGATAGACCCATGCTAGTAGTTAGGTACAGCAATAGAACCCGCGAATAGGCGTTATAGTGTTCCAAGCTCAGAAGGAGTAAAAGTACGGAGTGGAGTATTAATATTCGCTTCTCTTTGGCCATTTTGCGCAACGCAGTTTCGACGGGGGGGTATATCTTCAATAAAGCTCCAGTGATCGTATTCTCATGTTCCTCAGTCTCGATGCCCTCCAACCTCGGTTCAGTATCTGAGCCTGCGAGTTCTGGCTTGGCTTGCTTCGATTGTTTCTCAGCGGTTTTCCTAGAGTTGACAACTTCCCCGACACGGATCACAACGGTGCCCCTCCAGTTATCAAAAAACTCTAGTGCGTTTGTCTTGAGCGTAACAATTTGCTCTTCGCTAACCTCCTTCTCACGCTTGGCTAATTCTGCTTTTTGATTTTCTAGTACCTTTTGTATTTTCTTCTCTCGTTCCTCATCGCTCAGTTTCTTCAGATTAGCTGCTTCATTGTTATCGCTCGCCAGCGCAAAAAGGTGGTCTTCTTGAGAGCCTGTCTCTTTAGGGTCGAAGGTGTCCATAAGGCTTTTGCGCATAAGTTCAGTAATGTCAGAAACGAGAATTGTGAGTGAGCTACGGTCTTCATCCGTATCTAGAATGGTTGTGAGCGACTCTCCCTCCTCATCATATTTCTTTGATCCATCCCCGTCGCTACCACCTAAGAAAGTACTGGCTTTCTGAAACATGGACGATATTTTTTTCGAACTTGATTATCCACAAGGCTTGCCAACAAGAAGTTTATTTTTGTGCTTGAAAGCAAATTGAAAGTACCTAAGGTAAATTGTACATCCAATGCCCAGTATTAAATGAATACGTCATCAATCTCGACTTAGCTTACAGCTGATATCCCTGTTAGTAGGTTTACCCTTAGTTAACTAGCTTATAAGCAGAGGCTAGTCATGATTCTTTCATCTGTGTAGGTTAGGTAATTCATTAACTACCTTAGGTACCTACCAGGTATAGAACGCAATGGCTTGGGTGGACGCTATACACTCTGATCTACCGAGGCATTTATGCACATAACCGCTAGTAACATTCCGATTGATGAATTAGGTACTCATACGAGACAACTTTAATAGACAGTCTCAATAAAAAGAGATAGGGAAAGAAAAGATAATAAATTCCACCCAGTAAGTATTCTCAAGTATATATCGACTGCCTATATTACATAAACTACCATGATAACTAACAAAATAGCCAGTGGATGCTGGAAACATAATTCCGTAAAGACTCCTAAAACAAACAACCGAGTCTATCGACTTAACACTACAATTAAAAAAGAAAAATTAAAAAAAAAACCAATATGCGAATATATGAGCCAAGCACATCCATTTATATTCCAGAGTGATATCATCAACGCCTACGACCGGGATTGAACAAATCTAAATCCATGAGTAAATATTTATCTCATATATCTTAGAGCACGGGGAGGTACTTACATCGGAGCCGATTGCCAAGACGATCTCTACGGCGTCTACGAGGCGCAGGAAGCCCATGCCTTGGAGGACTATGGGTACGCCTAAACTGCCGCAGAAGTCTGTCTCTAATGCTGTGCCTGACTACCTGCGGTTGAGGCAATACGTCTCCCATGGGTGGTGGGGGCCCAGGTGGTGGTAGCCAGTCCACTACCCCCGCGGGCACCGGGGGAATAGGGGGAAGTTGAGGCATACCAGCCGCTGCAACACCGGCTCCATCAAACCCTGCAAACGGATTTAACGGGTCTATATTTTCGGCATTTTCATCGAACATTTCAAAGTCGTCGTCGGCCTCGCCCTCGCCTTGTACAACTCCATCTGGTGCTTCCCAGATTACTTCATGCAACACGCCTGGCATGGGGATATCCCCATATGGTGGCCCGGGATTGTCGACGTCCATAACATTGCCTTCACCTTCATCGTCAGCTTCACCATTTGCGTGTGCTTCTTCCCAAACCTCTTTAACTATGATCACGTTTCCATCTTCATGTGGTGGAAGCGGAGGTCCGGGAGGCGCAATTGGTCCAGGTCCAGGAGGCGCAATTGGTCCAAATCCGGGAGGTGCAATTGGTCCAGGTCCAGGAGGCGCAATTGGTCCAGGTCCGGGAGGGCCAAACGGACCGGGCGGTGGTGGAGGAGGTGGAGGAGGTGAATAGGGATCGTCAGGTTCAACGGCGTCGTAGATACTAATATGGCAGAAATACGTATGTTAGTAATCTAACACCTTATTGATAGGATATAACCTCGTCTACCCAAGTGATGTCTAGCTAAAACTGATAGCTATAAAAGACACAGGGCAATAGAAGTCGATTTACATACTAAAAAAATGTTAGCTAAGGGGCTAGGTTAATAGCGAAAGGATGCTTAAGAGGTTAAGGCTAGGCCCAGGATACGACCTGTTCTATCACATACCAATCTTTTAACCCAGTCTTGGATTAAGTGGTCAGCCTCACCTGCATATCTCCGGTGTACGCCTTCGTTTGCCTGTGCTGACAGAACATCTAGTGTTGGTCGCTCATCGGGGTAGTGTCTCATGCATTGCATAATTGTGGTCCGGAGGTCTTGGTCTATATAATCCAACTCGGGATCGTCCATGAGCAACGTTGCATAATGAAGGGGATCATCCGCGCTCTGTTGGGGTGGGACTGGCGGGCGAGCTGTTGTCATGAGCGTCCATAAGGTCTACATAAACGTCAGATCGTTTATAACGCTCGCTACCATGGTCAGAGAAATCTTACCAAAGCAATTCCCCATACATTCATTGGTGACCCGTAATTTCCAGCTACCCTTTCTTCCGACACTTGCCAACTCATCGTTTCTTTTACATCTAGGTAATCCCACTCACTTCCGAACTGTTCAGGGGCATAATGGCCAAATTTCCCGGAGAAGCGGTGTCGAAGGTAGTATTGGCTGTATTCGAATTATTAGCAAAGACTAAATTCTAGAATAAGGATAGTAGTATAACTTGCTTTCCCTTGTTACGTTTTATTTTCCTCATACGTCCGAAGTCTCCGAGCTAAGTTATAGTTAGCATAGCTGGAAGAAGATAAATCATAAACAGAATGAATTTTAATAATAATTGGGACGAAAAACTTACCTTCAGTCTGGGAATTATAGCATGCTCACCATCGTCGGCATCTCTGTCTATCCCACCGATGAAGACTTAAGAATTTTCACATTTAGTCTTGTCTCATAATATAGAAAGATGGGAGAAAGTCTCTCACTATTTCTAGCGTCAATATCAAAATGGACCAACCGCACTCCAGCATATCGCTTAGCGATAGCCGGGACGTCTTCAAAGAGGTCCGTTCCGAGAGTTTTCCATCTCGCAGGCCCCCCTTCGTGATCTGATCTACTCCATAGTCTTTCTGAAAGCTCTACCGTACTCGGGGAGTGTCTGTCATGTCGCCCAGGATGGAATAACCGCGGAGGATATCTATAATAACACATTGAGTTAATGAAATTTGTCGATGATTCTATGACTACCGATTCTGGAAGAAAAAGGCGAGAGTTGTCTTTGGGTCAGAGGACTCCTTACTCTAAGGCAATACACGCCTTAACCACTGAGAATAGCATTAGCCAAGTCATATAGAAATGGGTATGAAGACAGAACAGAGTAAGGGTGTGACATACAGCAAAGCCAAAAGGACCAAAGAACACGATTAGGGACTCTCTTTGTGGCACTTGTACTCTTTTCAATCCTTTGGATGAGGTGCGCTAAGTCACCATTTTCCACAAACTCCAATATAACATAATCATGGCGGAAGATTGGATTATTTGGGTCATTTCCGACCCTATTACGAATCATATTATCAATCGTTGCATCTCGTTCCCTCATTCTTTCCCTGTGCGTATCACGTTTCGCCGCCGCATCCACAGAGTCGTTTTCATGAATGGATCTCCGAGAGTCATCCCACCCCCGATGGGCATCGGCCTCATCAGGGATTTCGTATTCTGATTCCTGTAGAGACCTCTCCTCATCGTCGTCGCTCGAATCGTACTCATCTATTGGATCGTATTCATAGGCTTGGTATTCCTGGTCTAGTACATTATTCCGAGGGACCGCCTGGACGCAATGGGCCGCGCGGGCTACTTCCTGCTAGGTTGTCAGAAGATTTATAATAGCAATTATTACCACTATATACCTTTAACGCCCGCTCTTCGCGACGGATCTCCGGACTAAACCAACCCTGGCGACCAATCTTGAATACCAGCTCGTGAGGTTCACGTATGCTTCTAAACTTTAGAGCTATGCCATTTCCACCGTAGCCTAGCACTTTTGCTAGTTTAAGATCACCTATTGGACGTCGCTCAAAATATCTTTGAGCAGCTCGACATCTTTCTCTTATGTCGTTCCTATACGGCTCATCCCATAAATCTGCTGTTTCGAGCACAAATGGTGGCCACGTACTTTCCCAAGCCTCACTCTTATATGGAAGCCGCTGCCAATTCTTTTTTATGTTATAATCTCGAGGGTTAATTTCTCCTGGTTTCGGAAACGGAGCTTCCGCCCACTCCTCTCGATCTATGCGATAGTCTCTGAAGCCCCTTATAACGTCGCCGCCCTCCTCTCGATATCTCTTCCAGAGAGCATTTACAGCTCTATAGTGTTCTGAGAAATTGCTAGGATTCCCAATCCTATCCGCTGGTATCAACACCCGCGCATCCTGCTGTGGATTATCCATTTTCGATACTATACTTCACGTAAAGGCTTGAGGTCATACATTAGACAAGCAATTCTAAAATTGAGACATGAGAATTCCATCTTGCTTGTAGTCCGGAAATATGGCTAGACATATTTGAAAGACCATAATCATCATTGTGCTATTGTGCTGTTTGCAGCAATTGAATACACAAATTCTATTTGATGAACAAAGAGATTTAACGGCCAGGAAGCTTTGATTGGCCGGGTATTCCTGTGCAAAGTACAAACCTAGGGAATATGAAAGAATCATACTCATAGAAGAAAGCATTTTGTAAAGAGCCGAGTAATACCTCTACAGTGGGTTCCTATATCCGACTAATTATCGGCGTGACTACCTCATAACGAGTATGAATTATCCTATAGTCGTATCTAAATATTGCTAGATGAAAAGAAATTTGCGTCACTTGAACTCCCTATATACACCTTATATGGAGTTTTTATTTATTATTCACAGCATATCATCTTAATTGATGATGCACTTCCCAGCACGGGAAATCTATTAAAGTGATTATCTCTATACTACGGTTTATAGAACTAAGTATTACTTAAATCAAAAGTTAAAAATAAGTTACAAAGCTACTATATGCCCTCCCTATACGCACAAAGAACCCTATTATCCCAAGTCTACCCGATCCCTAATAATACAACAAGTGCATTTCTTTCTGGCCAGCAGATACGAGATATATAGTAGTTAAAGCAGTGCTCTTTTGGCCAGCTCGAATAGTAGTTTATACATGGTGTGCTAATCCTCAGCCCGGCAAGAATAATCTAACACAGGTACCTACAGGTAATAAGTACATTGGTAGCATATTCCAATTGCAATTAGTCCTATATCTAGAGCAAACCTACAATCATGATAGTAATATAGTACTTAGGTGTATTCACTTTCTATAAATAAAACATGCCAAGATAATTTCCCTAGGATTCAATACGCTGTGAGAATTCGTCGTTTTCGTACCATGGCTTCCGCATGCAGTATATTTCGAGGAGATTATTTTACCCGTCTTTATTGGCAATACTGCCTAGGTAGTTAATATTAGAGTATTAGTTAATAGTATGTATGAGCAAGGTGAACAATAAGAAATCAATAGTCTCATTATCCTATGTAAATCTTTTCGCTAAAATTGGCACTATCTCAGTTAAGGAAATAAAACTTCATAAGTGGAAACTAAAATGCTCATAAGTATTATAATAGGTATAATATTCTTTTATAAATATTATAAATACCTAGGTTAAGGTGCCTAAATCATGAATACCCATTGGGTGCAGTATGCGCTTAAGTTCTAGGCGGTATGGTTACAAGAATTTACCTGGGCTAGGTACCTGCTAACCACACATTTACCACCGTTTACATTAGGTAGTAAAGTTAGTGTGCTGATGCTTTACGTTATGGGACTTGGTCCAGACGGATGTAATTTGTGATTTCCGAATTCATGTCTGCAAACCTAAGGTACTAAGAATATATATGTGCAGCATCTATTTGTAAGCCATCCAGCAATGCAAAGTGCAAATTCCAACCCTTCTGTATCTCGGGGGTATTGGACGCCTTGCTAATCAAACTCCATATGTCAGAGAACCGTGTCAGTGATGACGTATATCTAGTAATGTCTGACCTTACCATCCAACGCCAAGTCCATTGAAAGAATTTCCATCCGTACCACATCCATCCTCATGCAAGTCATTTCCCTTGTTATATAGCATATAGGAGAAACCGCAACTTATCTAAGTGGGGTGTTAGTCGAAAACATCAGCGTCCCCACCGTCCCAATCGGGATCTGAGTCTTCCGGCGAGTCCAAGAAATCCTCCATGTCAAACTGTCTTTCCATCGGACGATGGTTATCAACTTGAATATCCACCACATCACAAAGACCATGAACGAATCCATCGTCCGATAAGTGTCTTGTAACCTTTCTAACCTTACGTTCCAATCGACTCCGATCCGAATGGTCAGCAGCCAATTCATCTTCACTCTCTTCGTCGTCGGCGTCTCGTTCCTTTAGTAATAATCCACTTCCCTTGAGTCGCTTGAGTTCTCTGCTGATGGCCGAGGCTCTCGTAAGCTCGGCTTTACTAGGATAATTCGGCTCCCCTTCTGACGAGGTTGGTGCCGGCGAAAGGTTGGCGATTCGCGTACTTCGTCGCTTTGGTAGTGCTGCAGGAGTCAAGATCTTTGGTTTTAGCTCCTTCTGGTCCTGCCGTTGAGGCCTGGTCGGCGGTGGGCGTACTGCCTTGAAATCTTTGGGTGATTTTGTCTTCCTCTTGAAGACCCTCGCCATCTTATCAACCCAGAATTCTCGGAGTTCTTGGCGTTGGCGCCAACCTATGTCTAGTGCGACCCTCAGTGCAAGTCGGCGAAGGTGGGGGAGGTCTGACGCGCTCCGCACCAAGCTTTGAAAGAAGGTCTCTGCTGCCCTACGACCCCACTTCCGCATGTGGAGGATTTCGATAGATTGTATCGAAGACGGCCATGTCGGCACATCGTCCTCCGTAAGAAGAACATCGTATTCGGGTTTATTATCAGCATAGTGTTCATGGTGTCGGAAATAAGACAAATCCATATAGAGGTGTTGTAGCCTCGGGCAAGCTGACTGTAGGGTAGGGAGAAAGGCTAGGCTCAACGATTGACAGTGATTGATGGTAAGACTTTGCAAGTGGCTCCCATGCGTAAGTAGAAAATCAACAAGATCACCTGCTGTCAGCTCCCAGCAGTTAATAAGCTCAAGGTGTTTGAGAGAGGTGGGAAGTTGGTCTAGTAATAGGCCGTTAACCAATGTACATGACTCCAAGATGAGATGCTCAAGGTTTGGCAAAGCTGAAATACAGGCGGAGAGTTGGGAAATTTTCTGATGGTTTTGTCTCTCTATCTCTTCACTGGACTGCTGCCTAGCCGACAACCCCCAGGACGCAAGTTGATAGTTCACAAAAGCTACTTTTTGCAAGCTGGCAAAACTAGAGTTCAAATGAAATCCTGCCAGCTTATCCAAAGAGAGTGAATCGGACGTGAGACGCGAATTCCAACGCCAGCTCTTCAATTGCGTGGGTGCAGTCGCATCATTAGCTTTGCGGCCTGCCAGGGTTTGCATCAGGTCATCTGCAGCACATTTAAATCGAACGTGCTCATCTAGTTTACGATAAGGTGGTTCGTCAGATTCGTGATATAGCTCCATGCTTGACAGTCTTGGCAGATTCTGGACCACAGTCTGCAAGTTTAGATAGTTTGTGCCGTACCTTGGTGTCAAGGTTGATGCCACTTCCATCTGCAGAATCTCAACTTTGGGGCGGTAAGTAACTATGGTGGCTTCGGGAGGCATGTTTAAAGTGTCGATGAATTGGCTAAGAGAGGTTTGAGGAGCTTTGGTATATCGCCAGTGGTGGTAGAATGGAGGGCACTTATATAAATTTGCTAAGGCGGGCTCGAGAAAAGTCTTGCAAACCCGTGCGGCTGCCATCAAACTTCCGACCGCCTCGGAGACATCCTCGCGCCGTGATGAAAGGTCACGGATTGGTACGGCAACGTTGTCGAGAACACATAATAGGACATGGTATGGGAGAGTTGCCCAAGGAGGGTGCGATGTATAAGTGTCGGAGAGAGCTATGGGTGAAGCCGTAGGTGTGACTTCATTTGAATTCGGGGTACTGGGAGTTATAACATTTGGAGAGGCTTCTTTGATGACCCTGCGTGTTTGGCGCTGGAATTTTCTCGGAGATGGCGAATAGTCATCGTGGGTGTTCTTTCGCTTTCGCGTGTTTGGGAACGTATGTTTAATCGGAGCATTACTGCTTTCGAGGTCGTCGTCGTCGTCATCGTTGAAGCCGTTGTCGGATTCAGATGAAAGCGAGTATGAATGGAAGTATGCGGCGGTTGATCTGGTTGTGCGGCGTGGTGCCTTCAACTTGGCAGCGCGGGATGGATTGCTCCGAAGAGATCGTCGAGGGCGATCCATTATCGGAGTCGAGAATCATTAGATTGCTTGAAATAACAAGCGGGCAAAACGACGGTTGGCATAGGAATTACAAAGGGATCGAGAGGTAGAGCCACATATGCTACTGCATAGTAGGTTGGATGGGTGAATGAGGTTGTTGTAAGTGAATGCTCCGGCGTGAATTAACAATTGAAATGGGTTAGGTAAATCGGAAATGGTTTGTGTTTATCCTAGGAAAGTACAACGTACGAGGTACGGCATTGACTCACTGCAGCTAAAATAGATTGGCGGGATGTCCCACTTAATAAGGTTTTTTTCTTATGATTGGATCTACGCTCTGTACCCCACCATCCATGTGTGGCCTCTTATATATAAGAACGTACCTTCTGCGCGCAGCTGAAACTGTATCTACGTACTGCTGAACTTCAGCTTATCGCTCTCAGAGAGATGAAAGTTTGATATAGAACCACGCACTCACATTAGAAGATATTGCGAACGATTTTTGTACTATATATAAAATAGTCGGCACTATGAACATAACAACGCCCTAAATTTACCTACTGCGGCCAATGTTACGATCATCGATATCAATTAATAACGCTAATTGTATTGAGCTTGTAGCAATGCAGGTGCCCGTTCCCGTTTCAATCTGGCTTGTTAAAAGTTACCGGTGTTTTATACCCAACGCATATTTAAGGTGTGTATGTCAAGGCTGACGACTGGTTAGTTTAGTATGTAGTAATAGGTACTTAGCTAATAGATTATAAATCGCGTAACTAGTCACAAACGTATAACTGTATTATTAATATTTAATAGATATTTCAGTTGCTATCACTTATTTAAACCAACCATTTCTAATTGAGCGGCTACTTATGTAAGTTAACAGATCTTAGGATGAATTTAATCCATCGAGACTAAATCCTGGCAGTGTATATAGCCTCGGATCCTGCTAGGCCTAATTTACGGCTTGACTTGAATAGTGAAATGATTGAAATTAGTTGTAATAACACAAACACTTGGCCTAGACTATTTAGTCTTTGACCAGAATGGACTCATCAGAACCGAATACAGGTATATAACATGCGCAGATCTTGAGCAAGCTGAACTAATGTAAATGTAAGCTGGGGTTACTAGATACAGGTTTAGTAGTACCAAGTAATATCGAGGGTTATTCATAAAAACAAATCAATTTATATATTATTTGAGGGTATAAGTTTGAAGAGATTAAATAATTTAGAAAGAACATATTCATTCAAAGCTGGTGTTGGAAATACAGGCTACCTAGGTATACACTATGTTGGGTCCGTAATCTACCTGTTGATAAGTATACTCTAGCATCGGTAACAAACGTTTATTTGTTATCTACCTATCAACTCCGACAAATATCTACTTCTTACTAATTGTTAGTCTGCATCTAAGTTTCTTGGTGAACTTGCACAGTTTCAAAGGAGTCCATGTCATCCATGCGATAATGTAACAAAGGGGGGAAGGTGGGTCGCAACATTGAAATGTATCTGTGGCTTGTACTTCTTTATATGTTAGGTAAGTACGGATATTAGGTACGTACCTTTTGTAATGCATAGATCCGCCACTTAGAAGATGCGACGGTAGCCACACATTTCTTAACCCCTACAGGATTGGTTCTTTCCTCCTCAGCCTACCTTGGTTAGTCGGAACGCGTCGACGGGTTCTTCCACTTTTCACGCATCGCATCGCATCGCGGACATGTCAACCGCATCACATGCCCTTCCAACTTATTTCTCTATAGTCACATTTTCCTAGATATACTCACGATTACCATCGCGACTGTATGCGCCGGCAAATCCTTAGATTTTGCCGATAAATCGTCACTTCGGATTACTTCCAACGTAAACAACCAGGTTCATGGCCAGCCACACTTAATTTGTTGCACATCTCATTACCATAGCCACTCTCTCTTCACTCATTCTTAGACTTCACTTCGTCTTGGCCCCAATCCCCAATCCCCAATCCTCAATTCTTCACTCGGCTTTCATCTCAGTTTTACACCATAATTCTTATTGACTTGTCTCCGGCGCTAAGGATATTCAATAATGCAATCTCAATATCTATAATTCATAATTGGTTGCGTCCAGACTTGGTGCTTCCTAGGAAATTACTCGGCAACACTCATACCTGCTTACTCTCCCTCTTTAGCAGGAGTTTGCCCGGCAAGATTCCATAGCCGTTTGGTCATTCTCGTATATTCTACTTGACTGCTCCATATCTAAAACAGGGTACCACAATACCGTGGTGGACTGCGCCGATGTTCTCCTTCAGAGATGGCAACCATCACCCCGTACAAACGCGAACTACCTTTCATCCACCGAGCCTGGAAAACTGCTGTCGACCACCTATCTCCATACGGCATGGGGATCAAGTTATCATCAACCAACGGTGACAGCGTCGTTAATGACGAGCATGGTTCTCGTGCTACCAAAAGACGTCGCATAGTTGAAGACTCACCAGAGTCGACTCCAAATGGCGCCGTTGGCCACTTATTATCTGAAAATTACGATGACTTCGAAAAAGCCCTTCGTGTGGAAGTTCTCCAAATTACCCACAAGGAAAGCTCTAATTTCAGGTCCAGCAATCTATTGAATGGCACGGGATCTCCCGCAAAAAAGGATACGCCGACTATTCGTATCCGCTGTAAGCTTAGCATTTTCCGACTACGTGGGTCAAAGGAAGTTCGCATCCTCTATTGCGATAGCCAAATATGCAATCTAAAGGTTTTTCGAGACGCAGACGGTGTCTGCCGGAGAGCTAGGATATATCTCAACTCGCCATTTCATGTCCCGGCGGACAAGATATTTGTTGAGCGAGATGACGACAATGGTTTTGATCTAGACGATAACTACCTCGTTCAAGCCGAGTTGGAGTCGGCGGGTGATCCATGTTGGCCACCTGTTGACCTACTGCCCAAAGAAGAAACCCAGGGTAACCTCTCGAGCAACCCACGGCATTGGGTTTTGACGTCTCAAGTCGTTTACAGGTTTGAAAAGCACCGGGCCTCAACACCTGTCAAGATCAGGAAACGAGTCGGTCAAGAAATGGGGACTGAACTAATGATGGACATGGATCTGAGATGGTCCACATGTCATAGAGCAGGTAGCACTACCGAGGTTGAGGTTTCACCGCCAGAGACCAAGGCATCATTTCCTAGCGGTGCTCTGGAGCCCTTAACAAATGGACATGTCAATGGGAGGGCGGATAATGCGACAAACGGTAATTTGAGAGATGACCAGGATGTCTTGATAGAAGATGATGAGGATCATGAAGAGGCGGCGACCCCCAGTCGTTCACTAAGAACGAGGGGAAAGCAAAATTACAATCTCAAGCTACTGAGTGACAAGGCGCGAGGAAAAGAGCGTAAAGAACGCAAGCAACGTAAATTGGCTGAGAATAGAAGCCAAACCGGGCAAGTTACGTGGGTACTCCCTCAAACAGGGGAAGTCGTACTAAAGAATTACCAATGCATACGATGCTATGCTGCTCATTCATCTATGAACCAGCTAGTAGAACATGTTAAGGTCCATTATCAGTTCAAGTATGACTTTGATGTGAGTTCTTCCCGCATATGGATTTCTCATCATGGTCAAGAAACCCCGCGTCGATCTAGCTCGTATATATTGGACATTCAAAGTTCAGAAGGCCCCGATAGCGACCTCGAAGACAGTATATCTCTTCATAGGGCCCAGAACACTTTAACGCAGTCAAAGTCTTTGCAGGTAAGTTGACATAAGATAACCAATCGGATACGGCAAAAATTGGATGATACTAACCCCGTGCAAAGACATACCTCCCGGGTCGTCCTAAGGATACAAGACAACAAGTGCCAAATAATAAACAACCTATGTACGATCGTCTCAGTAAAGCGTTACTTGAACCAGGATCTTTAGTAGATCCGCCAGACATCGACGATACTTGGCTGGTACAAAAGCACCGAGACATCATTCGAGATTACAGTGATGTCCACCAAGATGAGAAGGAATATATCTCAGAGTGGGATGCTTACGTAAATAAAGAATGCGTCACTTCAGAGCCCCATTTACAAGACGTTTATCTCAAATTCGTTCAAAACAAGGCGTTGTGGCTAGTTGCGTCTCAGAGCCGCATGACGGAATTCTCAAAGCACTTGAGCTACCTGAAAGCAAGGAACTCCTTAGTTGAATCCACTATTGTTAAGGCGCTTGCAATTATGCGACAAGCCAGGTCTCAAAAGCGTCCTGAACAGCCTGAGACTACAAAGCCACCCTCTCCGAGAACTCAGTATCGCAAGTCGGCGTCAGGATGTGCGGTCTGTGGTCAACCAATCCGAGGACCATCCACACTAATTTGCTCAAATTTGGTTAGTCAGACCGTATCTCTTTCCTTTCCATTCAGAGCCACTCTAGAACGTAAAGCTAACTGTCCGTAGGATTGCGATAAACCCCTATACCACATCAATTGCATCCGAGGACATATAAAGATGCCTGTAGGGTGTCGCAACTGGCGGTGCAATGATTGCTGCAGCAATTAGGGATTTCTAGGTGTGGACGTTGGAACATGTCCAGTTCACGTCTACTTTGCGTTAAAAGCCAGAAATCACATTTATACGGGTGGTGGTTAAAGGCGGGTAGTTCGACTTGGAAATCCTAGCCCTAACTCCCGAGGGAAATACATGGGGCTCGTAAACAATAGATGATTTTAGAGCCCCAGTCGCGATCAATGTTGAATAGGTCGCAACGAGGTATCCCCAACTTCTCTGTAACCCATACTACGTTTTTGGGGCCTTCTCTAAAGAAGCTTCACCAAACATACTATGCCTATAACCGATGGGGTAATCTGCTGCCATATGAAATAAAGAACTTGGTTGAAACTTGGTTGATAATTAGTTACCTCGTCATCCGTGAATCTAGTAAGAATCTAGTAAACCCATCGAATCAATAAGCTAGGTACCTCTTACCTAAGGTAGGCTTCACTACATAATTAATTCTTCAAGATCTATCTAGGAATAATTCACTATCTTGATAATTATCACTTACCTTATTATGTGTCCTTAACTTTTATCTTTGCAGTGTATCATAATCATAACCCTTACCCTATTAGGCGACCACGCAACGACCCCTAAACGTTCCATGGGTCATTAAGATAATATCATTTTTAGTATTTCTAGTTATTATGAAATATTCTTTTGCTAGAGGCAAGCGTTAGTTAAATGATATATAAGAAACAGATAGTTATAAATATACTACAGCGTAGAATAAGACATTTGGAAAGTCGTGAATGTATCATTCTTTAGTGCTAGAGCTAGAGGCTACACCAACCCCCTTTGCATAATTTCTTCGTCATCTAAATTAGGGGCAAGTTAACGTGAAAACGAATAACTGTTAGTAATAATTGCAATCTAGTCACTTCAAGGAAACAAGGAATCATCATTGACTAAGCCTTAGCTTGAGCTGGAAAGAAAATTACCTCTACATGCTCGCGCACGAAAGATCTGTGGTACTGGTCACAATTTCCGAGTAATCACTAGGTGTCTGTTGCTATAGCTGTGATCGTAATAGCAGGACACATCAACATGTGTTGTCAAAACTGGAAAAGGGATGAGTCACTCATAGTTTGTTATCCGTTTCCGACCACATACCAAATACCTACCGAGGTCTTTTTAATACTATTTAATCCACTGATCCCTCCCTCGAATGATCTCCATAATACCATCAAACACCAAACACCAAACACTAAACCACCAAACCACCATCAAGCAGCATATTCCTCCTACCACGACTAGCCATATTATCAATACTACAAAGAACGAGTAACTACCAGCCTTCACAGCATTCCTGCCACAATGTTGAGTCTCAGTATCATCCTCGCCCTCTTCTTCATGTTTATGGTGGCTGATTACGTCGTGAAATCAACATCGTCTAAGGAAAATCCTACTGGTTTGGGTATAGGGTCATTCGTCTTTGTAGTATGTGTCGCTCTCATCGCATACATGTTCGGCCGCTGGATTAACGGTGACGAGAGGGACGATCAGAAAATTATTCCGAACCAATAATCGGTCTTGTTGATTTCGAGGCTTCTGAGGTGAAAGCATTATATTCACTCGGGGGCAGATGGGTGCATCCCGGCGCGGATATGATTTATTAGAGCCGCTTTTCTTTTCGCTGGTGGCTTAAGGTGTATCGTTACTCAAGCGGCTGAGTTGTGCTCCTGAACGAAGCTGTGGATATGGGCCCCTTATAGTCAACAACAAAAACCCTTGACTTACCTAGGAAGTAACGCATCTCTACCTAATAGACTGCCTGATTCATTTAGAGCGATCCGTGGTTAATAGAATGCGAACGAACTCCTAGACCCTACTAATTCGTCACCACATAAATGTGAAATACCTTTTTGTGATGCGTCTAATAAGTGATGATATAAAAATTAGCTTATTGGTGATGAAATATACGAAGTGATCGACTAGTTAGTACTTCAATGGAGATCAACGATCACCATTTACTTACATGAATGAATTATCACATGACTGGGGTTATATTGATAAAACCAGGATACAGCTAGGATTGATTATATTTAGGTTCTCGAACCTCCCTCATTAGGAAGTGATCAGACCTTAAATATATATATATATATACATGATTCAAAAACCTTGAAGGGGAAAGGTTCATGCTGTGTTCCAAACCCTACCGATGTCGTGGAATCGAGAGAGTAAAAAGCGATGGCTGTACCCCGCATCCGAGAACGACGGGATGCTGTGCCGTTGGTCCAATCACCGGACCTGCATGGGTTTTACATGCGATAACGAGCTGCAGTTGGTTGATGATTTCCTGGTTATCTAGACCTCGGGATGTGGCATTGTAGCTATTACCTAGGTAGGGATGGAATGTGGTAACGTTGCGGGGTAGATATATTACTAGGTAGTTGATAGGTAATAATGTCTTATTCGAGGATTCTTATGGCACGATGAGATCCAGACATGACAAAGGAAATTTAATAGACAACTCTTCGGACTCGTGGCAAGATAAAGCAGTCTCGGGCCTCCTAAAATCACGATTCTACGGGTAGGTTCCCTGGGATAATCGGGGTTAACATGGCCAGATCTCAAGAACACGGAGAGCAACCCTCTCGGGTAGGGGAAGGTGATGAAGAGAAGATTCAACCGGAAATTCAGCAGCATATCAGCAGAAGTGATAAGAATGATTCTGAAAAGGGCCTTGGTGATGGACAAGGCCCGGAAAATGGGCAATATGCTCAGATCGACCCAGCTATTGCTAGTCGTATCGCGGAGAATGTTGACGACTTCATGGTAAGACTTACACCTTTTTATACCTAGTTATAAAACTACAGAGCAGATGATATATATTAAACCGAAAATAGACCCTCGTCAACGAGGCGGATGACGCAAATGAGAGGGAACGAGATATGAAACTTTCCCATGCCTTCAAGGTGTATCCTAAAGCTGTTGGCTGGTCGATGCTCCTCTCGTCGTGCATCATAATGGAGGGATTTGGGACATCGATTGTTGGCTCGTGTAAGTCGATGCTTGCTACTGCTTGCCCTGAGATAAATATTAATATCAATCTCGTAGATATTTCTTTTCCCCCTTTCCGCGATAGGTTCGGCACTCAAGCACCCAATGGAGACTATCAGATCCCCGCAAGTTGGCAGAATGGCATTTCAGGTGCCACTAATGTTGGCGAGATTATTGGCCTTCAGGTATATATACATTCCTCACTTTATCCCTGAAATTTCGTGCTAAGAGAAAACTGTCCTAGATTGCCGGTGTTCTGTCTGAACGCTGGGGTTACCGTTGGACGATAATATCTGCATTGGTTGCTGTTACGGGGTTCATCTTCTTTCCGTTCTTCGCTAATAGCCTTACAATATTCCTCGTTGGTGAATTATTCCAGGGCATGGCCTGGGGCATTTTTCAGACCATGACCGTGTCCTACGCGGCTGAGGTCTGCCCTGTACCCCTAAGGCACTATCTTACTAGCTACGTCAACCTCTGCTGGTTAGTTTTTAGCAAATCTGCGAGTTTTACTTCTATAAACTAGATACTGATGCTACTATACAGGATTATCGGCCAATTCATCTCAGCGGGCGTCCTTGTCGGGCTCGAAGGTCGACAAGACGAGTGGGGGTAAGTTTAGATCTTTGTTCTGGGCTGATAATGCTTGCACTAAGAACTGCCCCTAGATACAAGATTCCTTTCTCTCTACAATGGGTATGGCCGATTCCTATCGCTATAGGCACGTACCTCGCACCAGAGTCGCCCTGGTGGTGCGTTCGGCATGGCTACAAAGAACGAGCAGAGAAGTCGCTAAAGCGGCTGGCTCGTAGTTCTGGGTTTAGCCAGCGCGATGCGGATGCGGCAATGGCTTGTAGGTTACCCCCTAGAACTTTAATAAACTATCTCTGGCTTAGGCGACTAATTCTATAGTGATGGTTTATACGGATGAGATGGAGAAGCAGGTCTCTAAGGGGACTAAGTACTGGGACTGCTTTAGAGGTACCGATCTCAGGCGGACTGAGATTGTGTGCTTTATATGGCTTGCACAAACAATGTCTGGTACAGCTATCGGTGGCCTATCGTCTTATTTCTACCAGCAGGCGGGAATCTCGGACGCAGATTCGTTCAAGCTAAGTTGGGGCCAGAATGGTCTCAACGCTGTCGGGACGATCGCCAGTTGGTTCATCCTGAACAAGGCTGGGAGAAAGACGTTAGTGTTATGGGGAATGATCGTGATGTTTATTTTACTCCTGTATGTTTTAATTGTTCCCTTCTCGCCTCTATACCCTCCATATGCCTACTATTTCAAAATCTTGGTTATTCTTCTTTTTAGGCTAACGCCCCTATTACCAGGATCACCGGCTTCATGGGAATTCATGATCCGCCTAGCACTGCAGAAGCCTGGACAGCAGGGACAATGGTCATCTTACTGAGTGCCACAGCTAACTTCTCTATCGGCCCTGTGGTTTATACCATTGTCTCCGAAATCCCATCAACGCGGTTGCGTGCCAAATCTATCATCTTGGCCCGTAACGCTTACAACGCTATTAATATCGCTTTTATTAATATTGTCTCATACCGACAGGTCAACCCAGCAGAGTGGAACTGGGGTTCCAAAGCTGCCTTCTTCTGGGCTGGCACGAATATTATCTTTACGGCTTGGATCTTTTTTCGACTACGTTAGTATCCCCCGTGTTTGGATAAGTTACCCGTTTTCCTTAATTTATAGGATTGTTACTAATCCCCGCATCGCCTTCATGTAGCTGAAACTAAAGGTCGAACCTACGCCGAGCTCGATATACTGTTCGAGAATAAAGTGCCTGCTCGTAAGTTTGCGAGTACCAAAGTCGAAACCTTACTTCGGGGCACAGAAGGCGCACAAAAGGAACAGGTAGATCTTGTTACTAGTAATAACGCGGGCGAAAGGAGAACTGAAATTTAGATGCTGTACTTCTCTTATTCCTACGTTGTTAGTAAATGCAGGAATATTTACAGTGAATCCATATAGGAAGAGAGGAGGGTACGTTATAACCAAATTGTTTACCAAATAAACGAGTGTATATATCAAGCCGTTGTTGAAAGTATGGGAAGAATATTTATTATCCAATCTCCTGCCTTGGAGCATATCACCTCTGATTGAATTTATACCCAGGGAATGAGTGCATGCAAACCGCTCATCGATCCCAATGCTATACACTAATAAGTACAAGTCAATTTTATTATTAGTCCTCTTCTAGGAATCGAATCAGCCTAGAACCTATATTTCTTCCTTTCGTCTCTCTTCTCTTCGTCACGCTTCAGCCTCTTGCGACTCTCATTCGCAATCATCTCTTCTAAGCCTTCTTCTCTCCTCCAATTAGCACCGATACCTTCATCACGCCGGCCTTCTTCAAATCTCTTCCGCATCTCATCCTTGCTAATACCATCTACCAATGCGTCTGGATCGAAAGATACATCTACATCGCCAGGCTTCTTCCGTTTTCGGCTGCTATCATCGTCCTGGCCGAGGACACGCATGTCCCCGCCAGCGTTCTTGAGATCATACACACGATCACTACCAAAGAAGCCTTCTGCTCGAGACTGCTTCTCTTGAATGACCGTGTAAGCCGAACGAGGATGCGTGCTATCTTCGGTCTCATAACCACGACGGGACTTCCGTAGATCCAACTCTCCGGCCACAGACTCGGTCGTCGTACCATACTCTGTCGGTACACTGCTAGCCAAGCCGCCGGGTGTTTCCGTGCCAGAAGGAGTCTGTAAGCCCGCGCCAACATCTTCCTCATCTTCTTCGTCTTCCTCGTCTTCTTCTTCCTCTTCTTCGGACTCCTCTTCAGGTTCTTGAAGCTCACCCCACATTGTGCGTTCAATAGGCTCACCAGGAGGGGGTGCTGCTTGGTTTGGCTGCATGATACCGAATATATCTCCTCCATACAGTGGTCTGTTGTACTCATCGACGGGCGGTTTGCCGTAACATCCTGGGTTGAAACCCCATTGGGCGCCTGGTGGAATAGGGGCGTTAAGTCCAGGAATACGAAGAGAGGGATAAGAAGGAGGCGGGCCGAATCTTTGCTGATGGATAAGCCATGGCGGAGGGGCCCCAGGAGGGATACTAAGCGCATCTTTTAAGGTGTCGCTTAGCTCTCCAGGCCGGAGATGGCGCAGATCTGTTTCGTATTCCTTGCCCTCATAGTAGACTTCACCGAAGCGCGTTAATTGAGGCTTACTTTGAAACCTGAAAAAGGCATCGTAGAGCTTCTGGTAGTCGATATCAAGCTTGCCCATTTTCGGCTGTACCCTTTCGCGCTGCTTCTGCTTCAGAGTTTGCTCTGCTTGTTTCTCTAGTACGGCATCTCTCATCTCTGCGATGCCGGTGTCCGCGATAAACTTCGGCAATTTAAATGCAGGCTTCTCAATACCTCTCTTAGATGAAAGATATTCGCGTTTAAGTGACCAGTGGGAAGGTACCGGGACCACGTTTCGTTGCGCTTTGATCTGGACTAGCATTCGAGGGTCTGATGATGATGTATCATGCCATTCTACAACTTCGGGTTTCTTCACTAGCGCTTTAAGTTCTGCAATGGAGAGCTTGTTGAGCATCTTTCGCTTCTTCTTTGAGAGTTTGGGCTGCGTATTTCTTTCGTCTTCTTCGTCGGGTATTTCGTTGTCGTCGTCAAAATAGACCTCACCCTGGTTGCCAGCATTGGCTTCCTTTGCAATATCATCCTCCTCTCTCGATACACCAAACTTGGTAAATATATCTTTGTACATAGAAAAGGTAGGATCTTCGTGATCGAAATCGAATTCTTCGGCGGATTCAGCAGGTCCATCAGCAGTGATCTTATCTGACGAAGTAGATGTCTTCTTGACTTCAAGCTCTGCCGTGTCGCTATTATTAGGTGCATCCTTTGTCGGCTCCGATTTTGCTTCATCCGTTTGAACCTCTGGAGTATCGTCGGCCTTAAATGTTTCCTACTTACACATTAGCATTAAAGGCCTGCTTCAAATTGGACTGCAAGGACATACCTCTGGCTTGGTCTGTTTGTCTGCCTTCTTCTTCGCACGGCGCTTCTGATTCTTCGTCATTTTAGGAGGCGCCATCGTGATAGTTTGTTTAGGCTCGCGCTTCTCTTTATTAAAAATCTATGCGACGACTCAGGCGCGACGGCCTTACTCCCTCTCGACGAAAGAATTAGAAATACCCTGGACTTCAGATTATTAAGCACGGGTGATTAGGTAGGTTCAATTTAAAAGATAGAACACAAGTGAATGGTAAGGTCCGGGATGAATTTGTTCGTTGATAAGGCTGACATGAATGGATAATTTCAACACGCGACTTTGAAAACTGAAGTCTAGCTTTACTAGCTTAAAGCTCCTCTCTAGCCACATTCCCCATTTAAATGGTGAAAGTTCTTATCTTAGGTATGTGGCGCAAACTTTAGCCATATACCTAATCCATTATCGGGTGCATAATCAGTGCGTCAGATCTGACCAAATTTAGCTACGGTACTTAGGTACTTAGATACTTGGCATATCCTAGCGTTTTGCTTAATTGCGGGTGACGCTTGGGAAACATTCTCTTGGCATTTCGTTACGAGATTCTCTCATTTTTTCAATCGCGTCAGTCAGCCAGTCATTTCAACAGGGGTCGCCACGCGGCAGAAGTCAGACCCTCCTTATTACATTATCTACGCAGATAGTCAGTCGATGTTCTATTCATGGATGAACCTGATACTGTACTACCAATCTGTTATCCATAATAACCGGCCAGCGAACCTCGCAATATCAATCCATATCGCATCAAGCTTTACACTAGGTCCGAAGCAATGATCGTATGAACTAAACTCCTTGATCCGAGTAATTGCGCGTTGCTTCCTTGTCGCTCGTTATAACATCACCAACCTGCACCGCAAACTCCGTCACCTCGATGCCTCATTCCACGAGCTCGGGCTCCTATGCCCGAGAATCCTCCGTACCCCGATCCAGTGCCAAGCATCCAGACGACCAAGAGAATGATTCCGGCCTAGAGAAGTTTCCAGACCATATCGATTCTCCGGCGATGCGCGCCAATGGTGCAAGATCCATGAGCCCTGCCGGGCTGAACGCATATGGGATTGGGTTGAGTGGAGGAGCTCAGATAAATGGAGATCGTTGGCAACCACGAAGGGACCTTTCTGCATCAAGAGGTGTACGATTTGGCTCCCCACTAGGTCCGTCAGCAGGCGTTCCTCGAGGCCACGGACGACAGAAGAGTATTAGTGAAGCTTTCCGTACTATCAGGGATAGAAACGGCAGCGTTAGCCAGAATGCCCATGAATTAGCAGATGCGCTACGGGCACCTGTGTCCCCCAAGCTTATTGTATGTCAAATAAACATCATGGCTACCCCGTTCGACATCTGCTGACGTGACATATGTAATTGTCTAGATCCTCTGTATTATGTGGTATATGTCATCTGCCTTGACAAATACGTCTTCTAAGTCCATCCTCAATGCTTTCAACAAACCTGCCACCTTGACCATGATCCAATTCTTCTTGGTCGCCTTTTACTGTCTCGCTTCCTCGTGGATGGCCAGTGTATTCCCTTCCCTACGAGAATCGATTCCAGCATTAAAGAACCCAATACGATATCCATCGAGAGATGTCATTATGACAACGCTCCCCTTAGCTGGATTTCAGATTGGTGGCCATCTATTGAGTTCCACGGCAACCTCTAAGATTCCGGTATCTATGGTACACACTGTAAAGGGACTTTCACCATTGTTCACCGTTTTCGCTTACCGGTTTATATTCGACATACGATATCCGAGAGCTACATATTTTTCCCTGGTACCGCTTACACTAGGTGTGATGCTCGCCTGTTCATCGAACCACACCTTTAAAGGAGAGATTGTAGGAATTATATACGCTCTTTTAGCAACTATTATCTTCGTCACGCAGAATATCTTTTCTAAGAGGCTCTTTAACGAGGCTGCTAAGGCAGAGGCAGATGGTTTATCAGCAAAATCCCGCAAGCTTGATAAATTAAACCTTCTATGTTATTCCTCTGGTCTTGCTTTTCTGTTGACGTCCCCAATCTGGTTTTGGAGTGAAGGTATCGGACTTATTAGAGACGTCTACCATGACGGTTCGGTAGATCTCTCTTCACACCCCAATAGCTTTGATCATGGGCGCTTATCACTCGAATTTCTATTCAACGGCACTTTTCATTTCGGACAAAATATCCTAGCTTTTGTCTTACTATCGATGGTATCGCCCGTAACATACTCGGTTGCGTCTCTTATTAAGCGTGTGTGGGTTATTACAGTCGCGATTCTATGGTTCCGCAACCCTACGACTCCAATCCAGGCCGTAGGCATTGCGTTGACATTCCTTGGTCTCTACCTATATGATCGGACGAACGATAGCAACAAGGCCGACCGGCGCGCACGTCTTTTGAGTCAGAGTGCGGGAGGGGACCAACCACTGCTACCACTCAATACGACCCAAAATAAAACAGGCGTTTCTGGCCAAGCACCACAGATTTTTGGGAGCCCGATATCTATGTCTAACGGACCGACTCCTCATCCTTATACTAATGGTCATTCTTCGCAAACAAGCTCTGTAGCCGATGATTTTAAGAAAAGCGATGATGCCGGCAAAGGCAGACAAAGAGGTAGCAGTAACGCGGCTTGGTTGCCACCCGGTACTAGGCAGGAAGAAACTTGGAGATACGAGGATAGAGTTAGTGTTCGATGATTTATAGGCTTTCCGGATAGAGCCAGAAGTTTATGAGACGTCGGAAGTTACGTATGAAAACTGATTTTTTATTATTTTTTTTTGGTACATGGGATAGTCAGTACCCAAGTTCTTCAAAAAGTTGTTGTCACTGCAATCATCTTGCAAATAGAGGCTCGTAGTTACCAGGTAATTATGAGCTAGGCCTACAAGACATGAGGCGGAATGGGATTAGAATGCGGCTAATTTGGTCGTCTGTACAAGTATCCTTATAGATCAATGGGATGCGATGTTGCATAAGGCGTAGGGTTTAGATTTGTGCTGTAAGGGGCATTTTATACTTATACTATACTATATACTAGTTATACTAGTTCAATCGTAGACCGGATCGGACAAATGGGGAGATAAAAAAGTATCTAGGAAGTCTTAGTGGAGTTGAATCGGGTACTACCGTAAACTCATGTGACCTGTCACGTGAACTAAGTTATGAATGTGTGGAGCTTCTCAAACCTGGATCCCAAGTTCATCCGGACCAGACGGCGGCCAGCGCCATTTTTACTTCGATCTTGCTTCAAATTATTTCCTCCCCCAGACTCATCACCTCCTCCACTCCATCCATTCTCTATCGCTCTAGGTCATCTTTCAAGATGTTCAAGAGGTGAGTTATTATGTCTAGATTAACTTTTCAAAGTGCCCCTCCATCAATTGAGGTCAATTGAGCTGACGGAGAGTTTTTTTTACCCCGACTTTAGCGGCCTCTCCTCCTTCGCGAGAGCTGCCAGGCCTGCCTTTGCCGCCCCGACAAGGCGCGCAGTAAGGCCTGCTGCATCTGCATTAAGATTCCCTCTTACGAGCCGATTCGCGAGTACGTCAGGTGCCGGTGATGGCAAGATTTACCAGGTGAGTTACGATCGCGAAACACCGTTGCTAAAGCTTTGTTAAATTGTGGGATGGGAGCTAATGGATACATGAATAGGTTATCGGTGCCGTCGTCGATGGTTAGTGATACCTTAATGACAATATTTACGTTTCTCAGTTGTCTTCGAGGGTAGCTCTATTAACATAAATTTTTATCTTGCAGTCAAGTTCGACACCGCAAAGCTACCCCCCATTTTAAACGCCTTAGAGACACGAAACAACGGACAGAAGCTTATCCTTGAGGTTTCGGTAAGCTTCAGTGCCACAAATCTATATAATCTCAAATCATTTCTAATATCGTACAGCAACATCTGGGTGAAAATGTCGTCCGTTGCATTGCCATGGACGGTAGGTTATGATGGTGAAAAAAATTTCGCGTGCGACAATAAACTCATATCTTTATAGGTACCGAGGGTCTCACCCGAGGCGCCAAGGCCACCGATACTGGCGCTCCCATCACAATTCCTGTCGGCCCTGCTACTCTTGGCCGTATCATGAACGTCACTGGTGACCCGATCGATGAGCGTGGACCTATCAAGACCGATAAGTTCTTGCCTATCCACGCCGAACCCCCGGCGTTCACTGAGCAGTCTACCTCTGCCGAAATTCTAGTTACCGGTATCAAAGTCGTCGATCTGCTCGCTCCCTACGCTCGTGGTGGAAAGATCGGTCTGTTTGGTGGTGCTGGTGTCGGCAAGACTGTGTTCATTCAAGAACTTATCAACAACATCGCCAAGGCTCACGGTGGTTACTCCGTCTTCACTGGTGTCGGCGAGCGAACCCGTGAGGGTAACGATCTGTACCACGAAATGCAGGAGACCTCCGTCATTCAACTCGATGGCGAGTCTAAGGTCGCCCTGGTCTTCGGTCAGATGAACGAACCTCCCGGAGCTCGTGCCCGTGTCGCTCTTACCGGTCTGACGGTCGCTGAATATTTCCGTGACCAGGAAGGACAGGATGGTATGGATAATATTCACTGCTTCCTTAATATTTACTAACACCAATTAGTGCTTCTCTTCATCGACAACATCTTCCGTTTCACCCAAGCCGGTTCTGAGGTGTCTGCCCTGCTAGGTCGTATCCCCTCTGCCGTCGGTTACCAACCCACTCTCGCCATCGATATGGGTGGTATGCAAGAACGAATTACCACAACTAAGAAGGGTTCCATTACCTCCGTCCAGGCCGTCTACGTCCCTGCTGACGATTTGACTGATCCTGCCCCCGCCACCACATTCGCCCATTTGGACGCCACCACTGTGTTGTCCCGTGGTATCTCTGAGTTGGGTATCTACCCCGCTGTCGACCCTCTCGACTCTAAGTCCCGTATGCTCGACCCCCGTGTCGTCGGTCAGGACCACTACGACACCGCCACCCGTGTCCAGCAAATCCTCCAGGAGTACAAGTCCTTACAGGATATCATTGCCATTTTGGGTATGGATGAATTGTCGGAAGCTGACAAGCTTACTGTCGAGCGTGCCCGAAAGATCCAGCGTTTCCTAAGCCAGCCTTTCACTGTCGCTCAGGTTTTCACTGGTATTGAGGGTAAGCTGGTCGACCTCAAGGACACTATTGCCTCTTTCAAGGCTATCTTGGCTGGTGAGGGTGATGACCTCCCTGAGGGTGCCTTCTACATGGTTGGCGACTTCGCGTCGGCAAAGGAGAAGGGAGAGAAGATCTTGTCTGAGCTGGAGAAGTCGTAAGGAATTAATATGGACTGCTGTTAAATAGACGCTACCGAAACCCGGGAGTGACCTGTGTATATCTAGAAAAGGAGAGCAGTGCGGTCTGATGATTTCCCTAGCTCAATCAAGTCCTTTTGTGAGCTGTATACCTAAAATTCCACGCTAATTCTGATATGTCCTGGTGTTATATGTAAATACGTATCCAGGTGCCCCTTTGAGGTGTCTACTCTAGGAGTTAGTTTTCCCCCTCTCTCCATGTAGAACTTGGCATTGAATTGGCCTGCGTGGTCTATTATTATTAATTCCCGAGAATGAGACTTTCCACAAGATCAACCCTTTATTCTAAAGGAAATACTCGTTTGAGGTATATAGACCAGATTAAGCAATTAAATCTAACCAAGACAATTAAGAAAACACAAGGCGGCAAGGCGGCAAGGCCCCGAGCCGTAGTCGAACTTACCTTTGCCGACAAGTACTTGCACGAATATGGGTATACATTCGTTCGTGTCTAGTAAGTCTAGTATAATGTAGAAACGGAATAAGTCATGAGAGCGGATGATTGATATATTCATATAAAAAATAGCATCAATAACTCAGTCTTTTTTACGATGTTGAACAGATCTAAGTTGTCTGTATGCTTATCCGTGTAGTGATACACGGCTATATATATCTACATTCTGAAATCCTAGGGCCTACATAGGTAAGATTATTAATAAAATGCGTCGAAACTAGGATATATATTTTGCATAGTTTATATACCTTAGTATTTATCTATATTAAAGAAAATATGTATTTGCTTTGATGCAAAAGATGATGCTAAGCCTGTAAACCCGAGAAAGAAGGGTGCCTCATCTCAAAGTAAACCACATCGCAAGGTCACCTAGGTAGGTACTCAGTAACTAGCTCACATACATAGTACGGCAATAAATATTAAACCAAACTTACGCATTTCTCTTCATGACATGGTATATTACCCCTAGACTTTTAACTCTTGTATCCTACACCTACGTATTAGGTACATCTTCAATAAATTATTCATAGACTCGTGCGTCTTTATCACGCCTTAGTATTCCCACCCCCAGATACAGCCGTAACGGTAACAAGTTCAGGCTCCGCCCCTGCGCCTCCTGATGAACGCACCGACGAGTCGGCGACCTGTGTTTCTGCAACGCGCTGTTCAACCCATTCAGGGGCAGCTGCGTCCGGCGCGAGACCGTATAGAACAACTACTATGACACCGAGAATACCGCAGAGACAGCTGAATGCCAAAGCTACCTTGCCACGTGTGGTAAATCTGTAAGAGTGATTAGTACAGCGAGAAATAGGTAAGATGGTGGTAAAATAGAATGTTCTGTCTTACCCATCTGGTAGAGGGTCAGGAGACCGAGGCTCCCCTGTTAAGTCGAGGAAGTTTGCTGTATTTCCAGCAGCATTGCCAGCTGTGGGGACATTCTCAGCGGCGCAAGCGTTCAGGTGGTCTTTTGGGATCGTGATCGTCTTTTGTAAATCGAGGGGTGCTTCGACGAAAGTTGCGACTGTAGTGCGGAATGGTTAGTCTCTACTCTTTGAAAATAGGGGCTGGAATTCATGTTTCGGAAAATACTTACTGAGGCCGGATGCAACGTGCCACTCGATGTGGCAATGGAATAGCCAAACACCTAGGTATCCATAAGCATGCGATATAAGAATCGTAGGGTTAAGTAACACTCACCTGGGTTATCAGCCCGGAATCTAAGCACGATGTAACCAGTAGGGAATAACACTAAAGTATCACGGCGCATAGGTGTAGCAGCAAAATCAGCTTCTGTAACACCAGAATCCTCAAAGGTTCCAGCGTCTTCCTCAGACCGATAGACAGCTTGGAAGTGGTGCCCGTGGAGATGGAAAGGATGGCGTCCTGTGTCCAGATTATTGACCACAATCTGCACTATATCACCCTTCTCAAGGACGAAAGAGTGTGTAAAAGAGCCATAGACAGTAGGATTCGTCGCCAATTCTCCAGCAGATAGAGCTGTGTAGAGTGTAGGTACTTTGGGTGCCTTGTATGTAATATTATTGAAGAATGCGCTATTAGAAAGAAAGAAGTTAGCATTTGCATCAAAGGGGAATATTATAATGCATAAAGAGGGAACTCACTAATTCGCACCATCTCCTAAGTTGTCCATGATTACGTCGAGTTGAATCTCCTTGTCTGGCTTGACAAACAGCGTTTGGTTGTCGTATGGGAGTAGGGTCATGTCGTCGAAGTTGTTCAATTCATCGACCAGTGCAGGCTCTGGTAAGGGCTTAGCTTCATCATAGACTAGCCATCCAGTGACATTGTAATTCAAGTCATCTGGCAGTGTATCGAATAAAGTCTGGAATAGGGGTAACGAGCACGTTAGTAATCAAAGAATTGCAAATTACTCTGTTCAAGAATAGTCTACGTACAGTATCCATGCTCGCCACAAATGCATAGTTGGTTGTTGTGTCGTTTTTGGTCGTCACCAAAAAGCTACAGCGCTGAGCAGCAGACAGGTAAATCATATCAGCTTCAGCCGGCTGATGGTAGACACCATCGACCTCGATGATGGTCATATTGTGGCCTTCAAACCAGATGTACTGGCCTGCGAAGGCCCCCATGTTTACAACACGGAAGAGATAAGTTGTCCCGGGTTGGACCGGAACTTTCAAGTTCTGCGTATCATTGAATAGGGCGGCCTGTGGAACGGGCTCGGCTCCCGTGGGATTTCCCTTGCTGATAAATCCTGGAAGTAGGTCTGTTATCTGATCATGATACCAGTCTGAGACAGTCAAAACCCTCTCGTTTTCTTGCTTGTAATATGTGTCAAGAAAAGGAGATTTCGGGTCGTGGACAATGAGAGGTCCTCGTAGCCCATCGGGATATTGTCCATTGGTATGAGAATGGTACCAATATGTACCGGGTTGGTTAATCTGTTCGTCAGATTAGTTCTATAAGCAACATACATCTTTTATTAAGGATATTTACTGTGAAGTTGTAGGTGAAACTCGAGCCCGGCGCAATGGAACATTGTGAGACCTGAGATGGGCCATCCATATGAGTTGTGCCATTCATGAATAAGCCATGAAAATGAAGAGAAGTAGACTGGTTTCCAAGCAGATTCAAGACGTTAACTACGACATTATCGCCAACATCAGCAACAATTGGAGGAATAGGCCATTGGTCGTTAATTCCGATAGTTGGTCTGTCAAACGCTCCATCGGGATTCGACGTGACCCAGCCTATCCTAAAGTTATAGGTAACAGTAGCGGCGCTCGAGAGACTTAGAAGAGTAGCAGCCGAAGCTAGAATCGGGACAAGGCGCCTGAATAACGAGGACATGATGAAGGCTCCCGTCTGGCGGGTGATACGAGAGAGGGAAGCAGTAGAGTAGGAATTGAATTATGAGTCTAGAAGCGGAATACCTAGGTGTAGGCAATTAGATAAATTAGAGTCCCGTACTCGGTAGAGTAGAGATGTCCTCGATAGCACATGAGCTAGCATATGAACTGAAGAATCTGGAATATTTGAAACTATTTTACCCTAGGACTTGGACCAAGTGGGAGATAGCTAATAGATCCTGTGTATGTAGACCCTGTGTATACAGTACCAGTATCCGACTTACATGGGTCAAGAGCAAGTCTTACCGAATACGATTGTTTAGCCAAGGGGGTAGGGAGGAATTAATAGATTATCTTATCAATCGGTGAATGTAACAGCAAGGACGCACGGTAGTATTGACCCATGTCAAGAGCTGGCGCTTTTTTTTTATTGACCTGATGCACCGTGAGAATTAAAGCGGCAGGGAGGGAGAGTCGAGAAGTTCGGACCGCTCCAGACCAACATACCCTAAAAGAAAACGGCCTGATTTCGCTAACCTTCTGAACAACGCCATCGTATAATAACGCTACGGCTAGTGCACATACTACTAAGTAAAAAAAGAAGAAAAAAACATTCATATTTTTAGATTCGAGACCAGTCTTAGAAATGACCGTTAGATCTTGGGTAGATAGCCATTGTTATACTCATGTTTCTATAGAAATACTTTTGCAAAAGGAGGGGAAGTCGGTTGGTTACTTAATAAAATCTTAACCAATAACAAGGTCTAGGGATGTGTTTGTTAAAGGAAAACATACATACAGATTATGGTTTTAGAAAAGCAATCACCTAGCACAAGGGAAACACGCTATCTCTATTGGGTAGTTCATGATCCGGACTACTTACTTCATATAGCGATCTCGGTAGGTGACAACAAAAGGCTACCTTAGGTACCCTACCCTACCCGTACCCACACACCCATAACATCCACTATTACAAGCTGCAGTACGATGATCTGATAAGATTTCTTAGGCAGTTAGAGGCTGGTAATAATGGCGTGGGGTCCTTTTTTCGCGTACCTCCCTAGTCCCTAACAACGACCAATTAGCAGTAAAAATGAGGGTTTTAATAACTTGAACGGGAAGGATTAAACGAAAAACCACATAAATATAGACTACCTAACGTTAGATACAGACTCGGTCGAAATTTAAAGTGAGGTATAATGAGGAAAGCAAACCTTTTCAAGACCCATCTAGCAGGTATCTAGCTAGGTATCCAGCTATCCCAAACTCATTATCAAGCTGCTGCTGCTCGTCCTTAGTCCCCGCAAAGGATCGGTGTCAGAAGCAGCTAGGGTTGTAGCCGGACGTATTGGCAAAGCTTGAACCGCCAAGCAAGGATCTCTGTTTTTCGTACTGCTGCAAGACAACGGGTCCCCCATGCCTAGACCCTGTCTGTAATACTCATTAATACTTATTAGTGAAGCCATGAACCCTACACTCCTCCAAATAACTGGCAGAATGAACGGCTGGCTACAAGAGCGGCCAGGTTACCTACCTAATACCTAGTTTGCAAGGGTTGCCGCAATCCGGCGTTCGATTTTTTTCATTTATCGAACCATCTTGCCAGCTGATCGAAGTCGATCCTCTATGCACTGCTTTTACTCCATACCAACTTTTATCAACGGTCGATTTTTCAACAGCCACGCGAGATCCTAATAGGACTACTGGCTGAATCCCCTCTCAGCTGATACGGAATATTAGCAGAGCTGAACGAATTGTCTCCCCATCAAATGTTCAAGGCCGCTCTCGTCTAGCCGTAACCGGCGTTTTATCGTCCAAACAAACAATCTATCTTTCCCACAATCCTCAAGCATCAATCATACGTAGTGACCAGACCCAATCACCCCTTGGTCTTGTACCCCACTCCCAGATTATCTGATCCTATTTATCAGATCAACAGATAATTCGCCATCTTCTTAACATACCTACTTACACACCACGGGCCAATCTTCCCAAATCCTAATAGTTCGTACTCGAGGAAATCGGAAGCGTTCCCTCGCCAGCTTCTCCTTCGCAATGGCAGCGGATACTGTCTTTGCTGTCCCGGTGTTTCTTGTCGTTTTCCGAGAAACACTTGAAACAGTCATCATCGTCTCTGTCCTGCTAGCTTTCCTTAAGCAGACCCTCGATGGCCCCAATCGAGATGTAAAAGTGTACAAGACACTTGTTAAGCAGGTAAGACACCGGCGCCTCTAACTAGTATTTCAATGTTGAGTATAGAAAGAGTAACCATAGACTATAGGTATGGTTTGGAGTCGGACTTGGTTTCTTTCTCTGCCTCGTCGTTGCCGGCGGATTGATTGGCGCATTTTATACCTTGGGTAAGGATAGCTGGGCATTGAACGAGTACAACTATGAAGGAGCGTTTGCCCTTGTCGCGTCTATAATCATCAGCATCGTGGGCGTGGCCCTCCTCCGTGTTGGTAAAATGCAAGAGAAGTGGCGTGTCAAGCTAGCCAAAGCTCTCGAAGCCCCAGTAGTCACGGGCGGTCATCGAAATGGTTGGCTAAAGCGCTTCGCTGAGAAGTACGCTATGTTCGTCCTTCCCTTCATTACTGTCTTGAGAGAAGGCATCGAAGCCATTGTCTTCGTAGCCGGTGTGTCTTTCTCCGCACCAGCAACTGCGGTTCCGCTTCCCGTAGTCGTTGGGTTAATCGCCGGTTTTATCGTGGGATACATTTTATACAAGTGAGTTTTATATATGATTGTATGATTCGCATTCCACTAACATGCACTAGGGGAGGATCGGGAACAAAACTGCAGTACTTCCTAATAGCTTCTACATGCCTGTTATATCTAGTTGGCGCTGGTCTTTTCTCGCGTTCCGTATGGTATTTTGAAAACCAGCAATGGAACAACATTATTGGTGGCGATGCGGCCGAACTGGGAAATGGACCGGGCTCTTATGACATTGATAAGAGTGTTTGGCACGTAAACGTATGTAACGACTTCCATATCTTGTATTATGGTTGCTAATGTTTCTGGTATAGTGCTGCAGTCCGGAGCTAAACGGCGGCGAGGGAGGCTGGGGAATATTTAATGCCATACTTGGATGGACCAACTCGGCAACATATGGTTCAGTCATCTCTTATAACGTCTACTGGATTGCTGTTATGATCTCATTCGGTGTTATGAGATACCGCGAAGTTAAAGGACATTTGCCCTTTATGAAATCCAAGGAGAGCCCAGCTGGTCCGGTCGTTCAAGCTGATAGGTCCGATGAAGAGAAGACTGTGCCTAACAAGCCAGCCACCTAAAGATACCTATATGAGTCGCGATATTATTGCTTCTCCGCATATCGAATTCTATGTTTGTATAGGATAGAGTCTGGTGCTATACAACACATTGTCGAAGTCATCAGAACTTGGGGAGACATTCCGAGCATGCTACTTAAATATATAACATCGAAGGTGATTTATGAAGGAAAAAGTGTAGATACCTAAATAAAATATAATTATGAGATGGATTTAGTGTCTCCACACTTGCCAAGCTGTCAGATTTTAATGGTGTGAATGAACGTCACTCCCGCAGTCCCGCTCCTCATATCTTATGCCAAGACCATCATTTTCAACTACCTTAGGTAACTACTCAAGTACTTATTAGCTATACTTCCAATTAGCTATTTTTATTAGCTAGGTAGTTAAAGTCAAGGTCAACTACAATTATCTTCATATCTAAGAGATATATTTGATCTTAATACTCTTAAACCCTTATGCAAAATAAATATTAGTCACTCAATCATTCTTGGAAGTTTGAAATTTTCGACAAGCTCCGGAACTGATGACCACCTCGGATCTTTGTATCTTTAGGGTACTACCTCACACGGGAGACAAGCCAAATGGACGACTCGGGCAACGCTATAAACGACAATGCGTCGGACCCCAATCTTATCGAAAAGCTCCCTGAAATTGTCAACATCGTCGAGGATGGAGATTTGATCTTGGATGTTACTTTCGAGAACTCTAAGGATACTATTCGAACCGCACGAGCCGCTCAATCCAAACTATTAAGTCGGGACTCACAACCCGCACCAAAGAAGAAGACCCGCTTAGGTTTCCGTGTAAGCCTCAAAGCGCTTAAGACTCAGTCTAAGTACTTTGAGAGACTCCTCACTGATAGTCGCTTTAAAGAAGCGAAAGATATATCAAGCGCCTTTGCCGCGCTCTCGGTGAGAAATTTCAAGCCTGAAACTGCTGAAGTTAAAGAACTTCCCTGGATCAAAATCCAAGATGACGACCAGGCAACCCAATACGCGCATCGCGAAGGTGCATTTGGCGATCTTCTGCGAATCCTTCATGGCAAGGAAGTAGTCACAAAATTCACCATGTTCACCATGCTATTCGTAACTACATTAGCTGTCTTAGCTGATCGCTTTGACTGTGCATCCGCGGTCTCGAAGTTTCTCGTTGCCGGCATGAGGTTCAAATGGCCCGTGACGAACCGTAAATCTACTAGGGACGAGCCATCAGTCATGAGTCGTAGTAATGAGGATATTCTACGGCAAAAGATATTCGTATCGTGGCTATTGAATCAACCTGCTAGATTTCAAGCGGCCACAAAGGAGATTATCATGAATGGTTCCTGTCGATGGAGTTCGTTTGCTCAAGACGATGAGTTTTCAGATGCTACGTGGTGGTACTTGCAGGATGGTCTTGAGCGTAAGTATCTGACATGCTCATGGCATTTCCGTGCATAGGTACTAACCCCTGAATTAGAAGAGCTGCAATACCGCCGTCAATGCATCCTAAATACGATAGCCTCCGTTCAGCGGCACTTCATCGCTCTCTACACGTCGCGCACACGGCAGTGTAAGCTTGGGTATGATTCGAGTGCAGCTTGCGACTCATACCAGCTAGGCGAGATATTCAAGTTTCTAACAAATAAGAATCTCATGTTCCTCGTCGACTTCTCACCGGCATCTCTCGATTCCATCGCGGATACCTCCTTACTGCAGATCGACACCGTGCTCGCCACTCTGCGTCAGTTCTCCAGCTACCAGATCGATAAGCACCATACCAACTGCGGAATGCGTACGCGTATCCTGCCCATCCTAGATTTCATACTAGGCCTATTATCAGCAAACTCTGTCCCCATAACCAGGAACACCTGGAGGAGTAACCGTCAGGCGGTCGCCTGGATGCCGCCTGATACCGAGGGTAAGGACAAACCGGAGGCGACGCCGTTCCGATTTACGAGGTCGCTGGCGGGAGATCAGCGGTTGCGCTTCGAGAACGCATTGGGCGCGGATAAGTTCGCTAAGGATGTGTTTACGGCGCCGAGCTGGGATTGGACGGCGGAGGATCAAGTCCACGATGATCTCCCGTCTACTACTCCGAGGTGGAGTTTGAGATAAGTATTATGATGTGTTAGACGTAGCGGGATGGTATGATTCCTTCCGGGACCTTGAAATAGAAAGATGAAGAGCTGCTACACATTTAAGAGTCTCTATTTACAAGTATATATAGAGACAGGAGAGCTTGGATACCGTACCGATTGCCCTAAATCATCTGGGAACTGGACTAAATTTAACAGGTACTCTTATTGACCTGCTTCTAGTCGTTAATTTCGATTCAGTTGCTATTTTATACCTAAGCGAAACCGAACTACCGGGATAGTATTTATTGAACGCTGGGATCCCATAAGCTCTCATAGCTGTAAGGCAATGGTAAACGAAACAAAAAACGCATATGATGAGAATAATCCGCATAATCAGCATAGCGCCATATTAACAGCGGGTATTATAACAGTCTGTAAGTACTAGTGTTTATACAAAACGCGAAGACTATAAGTCAGATTATCCTTAGACGGAAGTTATTACTGTTGTTAGCTAAGTAGTATCCGTGGTGTTCTGTGATATTGAATAGGAGGCTCTGAAAAACTTCAAGCTCTCAAAGCGGAAGCGATATAAGTTCGTGAACTACTCATAGTCATAGATGGCATGTTCAGTTACTCGGTACATCAGTAATGCAGAAGCTTTAGCTGTATAAGAGATAATAAACTACCTTACAAGATAGTTCATGTATAGATCTGTTTATCCGGGGTAAATGAGATATATAATGCTCCGAATGTTGACTGATGCATACCTAGTCTGGGATAAGCATCGAACCAGAAATAATGTTGTAATCTCTATATACACGGCAATTTCTTGGCCGTCTTCTCTGAACTGATAGCTGAACACGAAATATGTACCTACCCAACCAAACATTGAAGGCGAATAGTCGTCACCTAGGAATGCTACACCATAACGCCAATACAGAATATGATTAAACGACTTCCCATGGATGGACTCAAAAAAGAAAAACCAAAACTTTAGCTCCTGAGAGCCTCCAATCTGTTCCTCATCTGGTCCATCATAGCTTCTGGATCCTCTTCGTCTTCCTCCAGCTGGACAGGCTGTTCCTGGGGGTGAGATGGTAGCGGTGCGCTGGGTGTCGCGCCCGCCTTCTCCATACGGCCCTTGAGGATCTCTCCCAACACTTTATCGACTTCGCCCTCGGCTTCCTCCTCTTCATCTTCTAGCATATCGTCCACGGGTAGACTCTCACCGACCATCTCCTCGATGACACCAGCCTTCATGAGTTCGAGGGATAGCTCACGCATGGTTCCTGCCAATTGCGGTAGCCGGATTAGGCTGTTTACATCCTTCATAACGCCTACGCTGGCCCGAATGCTGCCCTCGATCTTGCGCACCGCAAACGCCTCGTTCACTTGCATCTGCACGCTGCTCAGCTGCGCCTTGGACGTCACTAGCCTCGCCGATGTGCGCCGTGCCCGGATCAACTCCTTCGCGAAGTCGCGCACTTCTCGTTGCGCCTGTTTTGCTTGCTGTGGGTTCCGTTGGGATCGTCGGTCCGCTTGGACGATGAGGTTCTTGGTCTTGACCTCGACTTGCTTGACTTGGTTGATATCTCGCTCGAGCTTGCGGATGTTGGATCGTATTAAGGCGTTACATTTTCGCATCTATTTTCAGAGGAGTGGTGTAAGTTGAAAACGCCACCTAGCTGAATCTCTATCAAGAGAAGAATAGGGAGTTGTTTACCTGGGCATTGGGGTCTGGTTTAACGAAGAGTGATTTGAGACTCTCCATCTTGGGGATGGGTTAGTTTGGATGTTGTCTGGATTGAAAGGTCTAGATCAAAAATGACAAGGCGGTTCCTGCCGAGGGGCCTCAGATGGGATCTGGCAAAGCAGTCCGGGGGAGGCTGAATATAGAGGTACCTTAGGTAAGAAGAGTAGTGGGACTGATAGATTACCTATAGATGGTTATGTGTTATGCAGCTTAACGCGATCTAAATGACGTTGGTCCAGGCTGACTGGTTGACTGGCTGACTGGCTCACAGGGAAAGATGGGGAATTCAGGAACAGCTTAACCCCGCTAAAGTGCTAACTTAGACGGTTATCCAATACAGTGTCAAGGGAGTTTCGATACACTATTTAGACGCTTACGTAAAGCCACCACTACCTAAATGTTGCTACAGATACACAGGTACATTAAAAGAAAGATATCATTTATCATATTGTTCAATTTAATCTCACTATCAGAAATCATGTTTTACATCCGTACGTAAATAAGACAGTATCCTTAAAGATCCGCAAAGGTTGTCTGTCTTCAAGTTATACTTCAGTCTTTGTATTTTTTTTTTTTTTTTTTTTACATAGGTAGTTACAGGATTGTATCGAAGAATGCAACTCCAATATTATCAGCTATGCAGATGAATCCAGAACTTTGGGACCTGGGTACGTAGGCGAGGCTTCTGGAATTTCTCTGCTTTCATGCAGTCATCTCGGGGTTTGGTAATTCTCTTTCGATGCTACGCTCTTTAAATAAAATAAAAGTAAAAACGGGTTTATTGAAAAGTATGCTAAAATTTCGGTATAGCTTCTTTAATATTAGCATCAAAGTATGCAGCAATTGAGTAACTTTTATGATAAGTTCGTTGGTAAGCTGAAGCTATGTATGTAGGGGCTCTTGCTTAGGTTAGGTACGAAGGTATTGTACAAACGTTACCGCGAAGTCTATGCCCAATTTGGCTACGTATTACAGTGCGAATTCCTGGTCAAGCCCAGGCAGCTACCCCCCGTGCAAATCCAAATCTAGCCCTGCTGCTTCCGCCGCTTTCGTGCGGGTTCGATGTTCATCGGAGGGGTGCATCATTAAGCTCTTTACTAGAACAGCCTCATATTTTTTTTATTTCTTAAACTCTCTTCCCACCAATTCCAACAAATAGACAATCAAACTACAGTTGTATTTGCGATCATAACCTGAGAATTTTTTTTTTTTCACCAACTACCTTTTTACACTTACATACTTGACCGACGTCATATACCATCACCCCCACCAACAAATTCAGATATCCTATAGCAGTCAAGATGGCGCAGGTCACTCCCGAAGGTAAGTCTACTACCTGAATTACCACCTCCATGTCTACCTATCTAGCTTCTTGCCAGTAGGGTAGGCAGCATACCATGTAACTGGGTCAATGTCTACGTTATATACATGGATATTCCATCTATCAAAGTATACGCAAGCTAACTATTCTCTGTGTAGTACTATGGGCCCAGCGCTCTTCCAATGCGGAACCTGAGAAAAACTTTATCTATCTCACCATTTCGGTTCCCGATGTCCCCAAGGAGAACCTGAAGCTTGATCTTCAGCCTACAACCTTAACTTTCACCGGTCACTCCGAGACCCTGAAGCGAACGTACCACCTAGATCTTACCTTCTACGCTGAGATCGACCCCGCCGAGAGCCAGGTCCACCATACCGCTCGCAATGTTGAGCTCAAGCTACGCAAGAAGGAGCTCAACGACGAATATTGGCCGCGTCTTCTTAAGGAGTCTAAGAAAGTCCAGTTTTTGAAGACCGACTTCGATAAGTGGGTCGATGAGGACGAGCAGAACGAGGCTCCTGAAGAAGATTTCTCACAATTTGGTGGTATGGGTACGTGAACTATTTATAATCCACACGATCCACTCCCTCTCTAAGCACATACTCCTCTCATTCAAAATTTATCCATCCATATACAGGTCAATCTTTAACTATACAAAATCTCGTGACTAACATTTTTCCTTTTTATAGGAGGCATGCCAGGCATGGGTGGTATGGGTGGCATGGGCGGTATGGGCGGAATGGGTGGAATGGGTACGTAACTTTTAGGAAGATGAATATCTATTAATTATGAGTGAGCTAACACGTTAACACTAGGTGGTGCCGGCGGTGACTTTGGCGGTATCGATTTCTCTAAGCTCGGCGCTGCTGGTGGTATGCCCGGTGGTGAGGAGGAGGAGGATGAGTCTGACGATGATATGCCGGCTCTTGAAGGCGAAGAGGAGGGCAAGGACGAGAAAGACGCGACCAAGGCTGCCGCATAAACACGTTTCTGCAGGCTCTAAAGCACAAGCCCTTCCGGGTGCCTTGTGCAAAATCTACTCGTCCTGCTTGGACCCGAGAATATGGCCCGGGCTAGAGAACCAGCAAGTGGTAATGCGATTCAGATATGTTTCGGGAGCCGGCGAGCTATTGGCAAGCTAGGAGGTTAGGTTACCTAGTACTTAACGCTGGATTCCGATTAAAAATTTATGAAGTAATTAAGCATGTTCTGCTAGACGATAGTGCCGGGATTCATACGAGTTCGACGGGCAGCAAGGATCACTTCGAAGATTGGTGTAAATCCCCATACATTGACCTACCTTATGCATCCTGGATACACAATCTATGTTGTCCTACATGGTCTACCTACGGGTCACGAAGACCTGCTTATGCGCAGCAAATGTCTTAAAATTCGGCAAGCTAGGCAGCCGCAATTCCCCATACCCTACGTGATTGGTCATGACCGAATCCCCGAACCTGTAAGTCTCTAGTTGGTGTGACGCTGATGCCCGTTGTCAATCTTTCGCCTCAGCTCCGGACGAGATGTCTCATGACACGGTTGATAGACCCGAGTTCAATATTTACGTGTATCTGTCTCTCTCCGATGTCCGTTTCCTTGATTCTCACCATCTCCATTTCAGACTACCTCTCACGTCGATCGCCTAAGTTAAGGGCACTTGTCAATATGCGAGATTCTGTCCTACGCCTATGTAGCAAGTTTGACTTAGGAGATCGGCTATTGTACTTTGACTACGAGGTCCGGCAACCCGTTTAGCTCCCGATGTTAAGACCTGTCAAACTTATTATAGGATATACTCGTTACTCTAAGTTGGTGGTTCCCCGTGATGAGGTGTTGTAGAACAGAGGACCCAGTCCCTTGGGTCTCCGTTCTACGGATACGTCTGCAACGCGATGTAAGGTGTGTATATTTGTCAGGATTCTAGATGAGACATCTAGAACAAAGAACAGGTTTAGTATGTATAGACCCAGAACCTCGTAGATAGTTAGAGTTCCTTGCGGAACAACGAAGTTGTTTCCATGCTGTTTGGTTCCACCTCGTGACAATCTTTCTCCGAAATGTACTTACTTTTATATAAAAACAGAACTTCGCGTATAACTTTTTTGCCTTCCTCCTCTTCTCTCTAGTACATACAACCCAACCAAGACGAAACCTTATACTCGCCCCTATTTCTTACAAGTTCCACGCTATAGATATATTGTATAGACGGTCCATACGCGACCCAAAACACTACCTAACTCACCTCCATCTATCAAATAACTTATATTCTTCTTGTGAAATTTTGTTAGGGGCCTTGCGGAAAGCAACTCAAACAAGACGAATAACAAACTAAAGTCGATAATATTCACCCGTAATGTCTAACTCTATGAAGAAGTCCACGCGCTCGCGGCTCAACTTGGCCAAGTCTGCGCCTGTCCAATACTCACAATCACGGACACAGAACAACCAGTCGTCCTGGACCGCAGCGGATGCGGCCAAGGCCTCGAAGAACGGTGCATTTCTTACTGCGTGGCCCCCCGAGGAGCCCTATCATACCCCAACTGTTGACCTTTTCAGTCAGGGCCAGAACCAGAATGGGCCAAGAAGGTCCTGAAGTATGGTTTTACTGCATGGTAGTATGCGAGTATTCTGAGGAACTTAATCGGGGGGCAATGATGTTAGCAAGCGGAGATCAGGAGTATATCAGGTCCTCCGTTAGTTAGAACTTCCCCTTTAGAAAGTTATCTATGTTTAAAGTCGCGTTCTTGGACAGTTTCATGTCTCTCCGAGAGGTTGGAGGAAGGGGAACAAAGTATGATGGCTTGAAAAGATCTATATACTGTCTACAGTATCTATTAATCACATGTTGCAGAAAGGACAATATCATCAAACTAATTTCGGCATATAATACTCGAGAAACTAACTATATGAGATGAGTATAGACTTAGGGATGCGATGGGTACAACATTATCCAATTGTAAAGTATATCCATAGGAGCATATAGGGAGATTAATCATAGTATAGAGTCGAAGCGTGCAATAGATGCTTGACAGATCTAACTACCTTATGAAAAAGGCAGTATGTGCTTGTAGAAGAGCCCCATGAAGAAACTATGTCGATGTCGAAGCTAAAGTAAAACAATTCCCGCTCTCTGCTGATACGTATAAGACAAGCATACAAGAGAATATGATCTGATTATTTAAGAAGAGAATGGAAGTAGAAAAAAGAAGACAAGAGTATAGAGGATCGGGAGTGTTATACAACCCAGAAAGTGATTTGTCAGAGAAACAAGCTGAAACTCTAAATAAATCATCTAAACAATTTTTTCGCACATATACCAAATCGTCAACGCTATCACCTTCTTCATGCCACGATGTCCAATTCGTTAATGGTACATAAGTGGACTTTGGCAACGAATTTTCACCAATCCACAAAGGCCCGCTTGGCACAGCGGTAATGCGCCTCACTAGTATTCTTTGAATACTACTAAGGAAGCTATGAGGAGATGACTGGTTCGACTCCAGTAGTGGGCATTTATTTTTTTCTCAGTTTGGTTTTTTTTATGGCTTTCGGGTGGGCCGATATTTTTTTGTGGGATTTATACGAGAAATAAACGAAATAGCCTCAAGTTTGCTTGCCCTATGAAGGCTTAGGTTACACGGATGGTCTCCACTGGCGCTAACGGAGCCAATCAAACAAATACCGGAGGGGAGACACA